ATTTTTATTATACAACCTTTGATGTTCAAAATTTCTGCCACACCATGCGGTCACCTCCGGGGCAGGCGGGAATCGAACTCATGCAGAAGTGGCCTCAGATTCTCAGTGCTGTGCCTCAACCCGCTGCGCCACCAGGGAGGGCCCAATGCTGAGAATTTTTAAAGTTTAGTGATAAGGTATACTTTTTCTTTTTTGCTTTTTTTTACATAACTAAGAAAAATTTATTCTTAAAATTAACTTCTCAAAGCTTGTATAATAGTACATCTAGTGAGTTTTCTTAATAATGTGACTAGAAGTTGTTACCTTCTGTGGAGAGTATAAAATCAGGGCAAGAAATGCAAAACCAGGTAACTTGGTCGTAACATAACACTTAGCTCCTCAGAATTGAGCCTGCAAGGGAGTCTGAGATCAGACTGATTTCCTGCATCATTGGCCTTTCCATGTGTGTGACAGTTGAACTGGTGTTGCACATGCAGTGGGGCTGTCAGGGAATCCTGGCAGTCACACTGCTGGTGCCTTGGCCTGATCAGGGCAGTGGCCCCACACTGTTTTGCATTGTGTACTTAATTGCTACACGTGTGCAGTTAAAATACAAAACAGGTTCCCTTAATGTCCTTGAAAAAAGAAGCAATATAGATTTTTTTTTTTAAGATTTATTTATTTATTCATACAGAACTGGGGTACAGGCCAGAGGCTCAGGGGCGGTGAGAGGCTTCACCAGAGACAGAGTGGGGAGCAGAACAGGCAGATCGACGAAGTACACTGCTGAGGGAAGCAGCGGGCGGGTCAGGAGAGGTCTGGCTTGCCATGTGGTCTCCTCTGGGGCAGGCGGCATGCCGGGAATCGAACTCATGCGGAAGTGGCTTCAGATTCTCAGTGCTGTGCTTTAACCCGCTGCGCCACCAGGGAGGGCCCAATATAGATTTTTTAAAAAAGATTTATTTATTTATGCATACAGAACTGGAGTACAGGCCAGAGGTGCAGGGACAGTGAGAGGATTCACCAGAGACAGAGTGGGGAGCAGAACAGGCCGACTGACAAAGTACACTGCTGAGGGGAGCAGTGGGCGGGTCAGGAGAGGTCTGCTGCGCCATGTCGGTCACCTCCGGGGCTGGGGATTGAACTCATGTGGAAGTGGCTTTAGCTTCTTAGTGCTGTGCCTGAACCCACTGTGCCACCAGGGAGGGCCCAGCAATATAGATTTTTAACTTTACTCGTGAGTACATGATTTTTTCATTTTCTTTCGGATGATAAAATGGAAACTATTCATACGGTGCTTCAGCTGAATACTGACATACTGAGGTTTAGAAATTATTTGGAAAATATTCATAGGGAATATAATTAGAACAATTTAAATTGTGAGCCTATAAACTGTATTAATGAATTTTTTTTTCCAGGTGCAGCTGCTGCTGCTGTGATGTCCAGTTCTAAAGTAACCACGGTCCTAAGGCCGACTTCCCAGTTGCCAAACGCTGCTACAGCTCAACCAGCAGTGCAGCACATAATTCACCAACCAATCCAGGCAGGTCACGGAGATGGGTGGTGAGCTAACAAGTGTAGAAGACCTAGAATTACTTACTCTGTTAGCATTGTGAAAGCATCTTTGCATTCTAGCAACGTTAGTTGTCATGGTGCAGGGAAGGTTGAATTATATGCAGTTCATGACAGCTGTTGGGACTTAGAAGAGATACTGAAGGAAGATGTTTTGTTGGGAGGGGTTTGGTAATTGGAATTCAAGGAGTTTCCTGCCATTCTTGTAAAACAGCAAATGTTATATACAATATACAGCTAGAACTGAGGGATTCTAATTTACAGAGGAGTTAATGGATCCCTAAACATCTTTTGGGGACATAAATACTTTTGAAGGAGATGGTCCAAGGCTTTCCACTTTTTTTCCCCAAGGGAATCTATGGCCTAAGTACTACTGAAGTGCTATATGTTATTGCATGATACTGTGGTGTTTCTAAAGTCAGAACTTGAAGATATGAGTGTAAATTTGATGTTTGTACACAGCAGAATAAGTAATGTGTAATTGAAGAAATATCTTTGACAGCTTTACCTAGGAAGAAATTCCAGTGCCTTTGGTAACCAGTGTGTGAAAGAGTTGGGTTTAACACAAGGGAGGGTGCCGATTAGGATATCTGGTACTTGTCCAGTCTACAGATTTCAATCCTGTAACTATACTAATGAATGAAAATATGTGGCTGGCTAACAGAATAATTTAGAGAATGATTAAGCTCCCAAAAATACATAGAATCGGAGAAAAACCAGAATCAGGAGCTTTTTAGTAAGGAAGATTATTAGTAAGGAAAATGGTGCAGTAGCCCTGGCTTGAGGTAACAGGCTGTCCCTATAGGAGGCAGTGGTACATATTCTGGAGGTGAGAAGCAGACCAAGAATGACAGTTTGATGATTTCATGTGTAATGTCAAGGAGGGGCTACTCAGAAATGCTCTGGTGGTTGGAAGAGTGTTAGTGGACCAACAGACAAAGCCCAGTATTGAACTTGTTTGTCAGGTGAAGAGTTTAGCCAGCAGAGAGGACTGTTCCCCTGTGTTTGCCTTTTGCTCTTGATGACCTGAAGGCACGAGATCCATCCAACACCAGCATAGGCCCATCATGGGTGGTAGCATAAATGCCTCCGTTAGGGTCAACAGTACATCTGTGGGAATTCACATCAGCAGGATGAGATCCCAGTTTGTACAAATACTGGAACAAAGTTTTGAATCCTGTCCTATTTGGAAAGGAGGAACTGTGGACCATGAAACCAAAAAGGGAACTTTTGGGTAATTGTGACTCTTGGTACAACAACTCATCTGAAAAAAATATTCCTTAATTGGAATGGCAAGAATTTACTTTATGTGGACATAAACATAAGCTTACTGGGAGGGCCAAGTTTCAGATTTTGTTTTTAGTGTTTGATTTACTATATTTGTTTGCTTTTTCTTTTAAATGAATTATTTTTTCTTTTATCTTGGTAGTCTCGTCCACCAGTGACCACCTCTAATACCATCCCTCCTGCTGTGGTAGCAACTGTTTCAGCCACCAGAGCCCAGTCTCCAGTCATTACTACAACAGCAGCACATGCTTCTGATTCAGCACTTAGGTACATGTGGGAGTTTGAAACTCACTGTCCTGCTGTCTTCCCTCATTCTCTCCCTTTTCTTTGCTTTTCTTCATTTAATTCAAATATTTATTGCGTATTTTTAATAAGTATTGTAGTGTTCAGGATGCTGAGGATAAAGTAGTGAAAAAATAAAAAAAATCTTACCCTCATAGAGTTTCTATTTTTAGGGACTGCAGACATACAGTAAGAGAACAAAAAAGTACATATATACACATATTTCTGGATGTGGGTGTGTGAGTAGGGTTTTGGAATGGTGAAATGTTTAGTAGGGAAAATGAAGTAGGGTGAATGGGATGTTTGGAGTGACAGGGCAGGTAGTATGTTGTTCATTTTAACTTTATATTACCTTTAAAAATTAATATATTCAGATGGTGTGACAAAATTCAAAAAGTATAAATATGTGTATAATTAAAAACTAGGGCTAATTCCACAGTATTAAGTTTCTTACAAAAAACACTAATGAATTTTGTCATATACTTTCAGCATTCACTCATGTAACAAATAATGATTGCGTTCCCCTTACATACCAATCTCTGTTTTAGGATGTATGTAGCAATACTAGTTGAATTACACAGACAGAAACCCTAATGATCGATGATTTTTCTACATATACCTGTAGAAATATGGTAAATCTCCAATATATGCCTTGGAATTCTGGAGCTAGAAATGATAAACAGGCCTATTTTCATAGAAGAAATGGAAAAAATTTCAAAGCTCTGTCTCCTAGAAAAGCACCTGACCCAAATGTTTCCATTAAATCCTACCAAACTCTCAAGAGCTAATCCCAGTGATAACTAAATTGTTTCAAGACAGAAAAAGAAAAATTTCCCTCAAAATTTCAGTGGTAAGTCAAACTCCTTCTGTTAAAATACGTTCAGTCCTGCCTGAGAGGCCTTTGGTAATTTTTCATGTATCAGTTGGTTAAATGAAATTGTCTCTTCAAGAAGGGATTCTAGGTGCAATATTTGAATTTTTGCATGCTCAAAATTTCCTCCATATCCTTATGCTTAGCAATAGTTTGTTAATAAAAAATTATTTCTCTTTTGTTGAGTATTTTATTGGTATTTTTCTTCCACCTTCCATAGCTGGATAGTGCTGTAGAGAAGTCAGGACTGCCTGGTATTTTCTAATTCCTTAAAAGGATATTGATTGCCTTGATATTTTTGCCTTAGGTTTTCATTTGAATTTAAGCAACTTTAGTAGGATGTGTTCTATAGTGATCATTATGTTTTGTTTGATTTTGGACGATGGCATGCATTCTTCAACAATAGCATGAAATTATTTGGAGAAGTTTCTTGAATTGTATCTTTATTAGTTTGTTCCATTTTCTGGCTGGTGAGGGAACTCAATTATATATACATAAGATTTTTTTTTTGTATGACTTCCTGATCTAACTTTTCTTATTTTTTTTCCTTTTAATTCTGCTTATTTTTCTCAACATCTGCTCTGTCCCTTACTGAGTTTTCAATATTGTCTCTTATGTCCTACTTTTAATTTTGCATTTATTCCTGTAATGGTGAGTGATTTTCTTTTAAGCTCTGCCCATGTATTGAGTTTTTAAATTTATGACACATTTTTGCTGAAAGCATTTCTAATGAATTTCCCCCATTTTTCCACCTCTTTTCTTGTGGCATTCTTAAATAGGTTCTGTGCTGGTTTTTTTAGAGCTTATGCTGAATTAGCTGTTTGCAATTGGTTCTTGGTTGCAGGTTGAGCTATATACTGGTTTAAGAGAAGTTTTCCAAACAACTTTGTATTCTGCATTTCTGTGGCTATTCTGCCCTGCTGGTGAAATAGACTTCTAGCAAATGGCAAGGTTTCCCTCTTCCCTAGGTCTTATCACACAACTTTCCCACATGAGCTTATCTCTATCTGTGTGATTCCTAATTCAACTCTATACTTCAAGTCTTCTTTCACTGTTACCTCCCACTATTACAAAAGATTTTGATTTCTTTTGTCAGAATGAGCTCTTCTGTTTAGAGAATTACACTTCACTGAGTTTTGTCCTTTAAGTTGTAGCTGCAGAAATCTTCTCTCTACCTCCTATGTTATTTATCACTGCTTTGGCAGTTTTGTTGTCTGTTCTGCAGTTTGACGTTTTAGATGGCTCATCATTTTGGGAAATACAGTGATGCATTCTTTTTGTTTTCTTTGTTACTGTTCTCAGAGAGAAATAGAAAGTTTCAAATTGGCCATCTGTACTTGCATTACTCCTCAAAAAGTCAAACAAGGACCCAACTGATCATTGGAGGATGTCGTAACTCTTCTTTATTTCCTGTATCAGCTTTCTCTGTTTTAATCAAAATCTCTTTCTTTCTCAGTTGCCCCAAATTTGACTAGAGAGAACCTCTTCAAATTGTCCTTCTGCTACCTCTTTAGTCATTGAGCACTTTCTTCTTTCTGATGCATAATAAGTTGAACTTTGTTACTTTTCCCCACTTTCCTTGTCTTGAAATCAGTTACATCTCTAATGATCCTTTGTTCCTGTTAGTTTACAATTCAAGCTTTGTTGCTTTCAGGGTATCATGACTTTGGGACTTTTTCTACAGACAAAAGTAGCCTGTATAGAAAGATGGCCATATCTTTAAACTGGTATTTCCAAATAAACTTTAGCTATATAAACTTTTTGTTACTTTCTTAGATTTTTTTGGTAAACATTTATTTTTATTTATGCATACAAGAATTAGGGTATAGGCCAGAAACACAGGGTCTGAGATGATTCACCAGACAGTGGGAGCAAAATAGGTGGATCTACTGAAATACACTGCTGAGAGAAGCAGCAGGTTAAGACAGGAGAGGAGCTTACCATATGGATTGGCTCCCTGCTGCAGTGGCTGTGGGTAACTTGATAGTGCTGACTTTAACACCCTGCACCACTAGGAGGCCCTACAGTTCCTTAAGAGCATCAGTTCATTCAACATCATTGCTAAAACACTGAGTGTAAAATTCCAGCTGACATTGAAGAAAACAATATTATTCAAGAGCCTGCTTGTGTCCGTTTCCAAGAACCTATCAAAGACATTAAATGAGGACTTACTATTTGTCTTTTTACAGTGAAAATCATGTTTCCTGAAGATACTAATGTGGCTACCTTTCTTCATCCATAATATACAAAAAAATGTTTTCAAAGTAATAATTCAAAGTCCTAACTTCCTTGTCATAAATTAACTTATTTTTGTGTAGATTATAACTAATAACAGGACTACTGAGTAAACTTTAACATTCCTTTACAATTCTTTTTATTTTCAGAATAAACCCTAGAGTTGGAAACTAGTCTAAAGTCATTTTATGTCACTTTTTCTGTAGGATATAGAATGCCATTTCTTTTTTGTAATTTACCTCCACATACTTCCAAATTATAACCATATAGAAAGGTGTACAGTGAGGAGTAACCATCTCAAATACCAGTTTCCTGTTTTCTTACCCCTTTGCTTTGGTAGTTTATTATCTTTCCAGTATTTCTTATACTTTAGTAAGTTGCATAATTATAATTTAATGGGATTGTTTAAATTTGTTCTTAACTTTAGGATTTTCTTTTTTATTTAGCTTTTTAAAATCTGTAAAATATTTTTTTGGTGCATAAGTCTAAGTTATATCCAAAGATGGACTCGTGAGTGTCTTTGTCCTCTGCCAAGTTGCATTATGCCCTTGGTAGCTAACCATTGTATTATCCTCTAATTTGCCCTCTCAGAGTTATTTTTTGTGAGATAAGTGTATATACAAAAACACACATATTTTCTTTTTTAAACTTCTTTCTTACAGAAAATAGAATATATTATATTTATATGTACTGTTTCATACCTTAGATTTTTTCACTCAGCAATATTCTGGAAGTGACACCATATCAGTATACTGAAATCTTTTTTTACCTGGTTTTGTGTGTGTGTTTGGATTGTGCTTCACTATGTAGATGTACACTTTGGCTTATGCTGTTGCATATTTATAATGGTGTACTTCCAAGGTGTACTTGTGTAACTGGTGCACTTCCAAGGTTTACAACTCCAAGTGGGAATTATAGGTCAGAGTAAGGACGTTACTATCTACCTCAAATATCATTTTGAGGAGTAATACTAATATGTGTAAAATTCTAAAACACCTGGCATATAATGTGAACTATTTAATACTGATGTTTACATTATAGTACTATATATACTGTTATATAGTCTATTTTCAAAAGCACTTAAAAGCATCTAAAGATTTAATATATTCTTTCAGGGCTGTATTTTTATATAAGCTGAACCTCTTAAAAATATAAGTTAGAATTATAGCAATCCTTCCTGGTGATTCTGTTGGCATTCTTCTTTGTTACTAGATCTTTCAAAATTGTTTACATAATTAGGTTCATCTATCCTAATATTTGTCATTCTTTTCAGTTATGTATATGTTTGTCTCTGAATGTTCCTTGTGTAATCTCTAGGAATGATGGTTTTCATGGCACTGTACTTGGTTACCTGTGTCATCAGCTATTAAAAATCCAGTCTCCAATAGTGAGCTTCCCCTCAGTGAGTTCCTCTAAGGTCTGTGGTTTCATCAATTGCCAGAATTTCAACTTTCCATTGAATTTGAGTGATAATGCCATTTAGGTTGCTTTCTGTAACTAAAGGATAAACCGAGTAAAAAGTTTGTAAACTTTATTCACTGCTATCCCACTGGGTCTGAAAAGCATTTTGGTGAATGAAACCACTGCATAGTTTGGACAAATGCTATCTCAGGCCAGTTTTCATCCTTACAGCTCACCATGCTTCATTTCCTAATTTATATTCACATGAATATTCACATGATTCCAAAATATAAAATCATAAAAGGCTGTACATTAAAAAGTGTACGTTCTCTCTCCCCACCCACCAACTTCTTATATTGTCCTTTCCTTTTGCCTTTTTTAGTGGCTTTTTGGGTATCCTCCTTGTGTTTCTTAAATGAATTTAGTTGCAGTTCTTTTATCTTTTTTATTCAAAAGATTGTTTTATTCATATATTCCACTGCACTTTTTCCCCCATGAAAACAGCATATTTTGAAAGCTTTTCATTTTAGTACATTTTCATCGTTCCTTAGTAACAGTGAAATTGTATAAATGGACTTGAGGCATTTATTGTAAGTAATAGTGCATTGAATATTGTGTGGTTATGTATGTGTGCAAGGATATCTTACAGAATGAATTCCTAAAAGTGATCACAGTATATGCAGTTCTAATTTTGATACCTGCCATCTAGTTGTCTACAATAGAGTTTTTACCAATTTATACGCCTTTTAGACTGTTTAAAGTGCCCAGTTTCTTTGTGGCTTGAACAGTAATACAAGTTTTTGGGTTTTTATCAATCTGAAAGTGAACAATAATATTTCAATGTTCTAAATTATATTTCTTTTTCCTATAAGAGTGAGCATCTTTTCTGTATTAAGCCATTTGTGTTTTAATGAACTAGGTATTCTATATCCTTCACCTGTTTTTATTAAGCTGTTATTTTCCTCACTGAATTTTCTAGGAGTGTTTAGTGTAGTTACACTTTCCTCTTTAAGTCTCTTAACTCTGTGGTGTGTTTTGCTATGTGGAAAGTTTATTTATTTGCTCAAAAGAGTCAAATTTAATGATCTTTTATAGCTTTTAGGCTTCAGAGACTTTTAATAGAAAGCTCTTCCTGACTCCATTGTTACAAAAGAATTCCATGTTTTCTTCATACACATTTTTATTTGCTATTAAATCCTTGATTCTTTTTGAATTTATCCTGGTATACTGTGTGAAGTATGGACCCCAATTTTTTTCTTCCAAATAACTGTAATCTTCCCAGCATGTTTTTTTAAGTAGTTCAGTCTCCCCTCTCTGGTATAGATGCCAGTTTTGTCCTGCTGCCACGTTTTCTTGCCATTATTGCATTTTCAGTGGCTAGCTGCCAGTTAATTTCAGGCTATCTCAGTATCCCTTCTAATAATTAGACAATTATAAATTTTTATCTGGTGATGAATGACAAAATATTGGAGTTGCACTCAGTGCTTCATGGTCTGCTGCTGTTAGTAAAGATTATCTGTCATCATCCCTATTTACTATGTATCTTCATCTTTGATTACACAACAGTCTGTCCGTTATACTAATACTCACTGAAAAGGCCCTAGAATTGATTCATTACATTGAGGATAATCAGAATGGTCAAGAATTAATTTATTCATATCTTGGTGCTCATTGATATTTTTAAAGTAAATCTTAAAGCACTTTCAGGGAGAAACTCAGTGGTTCAGCTGTGCATTTCACATACGTATATATATATATATATATATATATATATATATATATATATAAAATTACAGCTGTATGACTGTGATCTCACATAAGGTTGTTAATGGCTTGATTTCTCTCAGTGTCTGGAGACAAGTTATAAATTACAATTTTTTTTAACCTGTTTTCAGTCGGCCAACATTGTCGATCCAGCATCCGCCATCTGCAGCAATTAGTATTCAGCGTCCTGCTCAGTCACGGGATGTAACAACAAGAATCACACTACCATCTCACCCTGCATTGGGGACGCCAAAACAGCAACTTCATACCATGGCACAGGTAAAACCAGAGGTGAAAACCATCTGTGTACTCTGAGAGTTAAAACTTACGTAAAACTTCCTACAAACCTGACAATGTTGAAGGCAGTAATTGCTTTTAACTGGATTGGGAAATGTTCTTGTTTATAACTGTGTTGTGGGGTTTTCCCTCCCAGAAAACCATCTTCAGTACTGGCACACCAGTCGCTGCAGCAACAGTAGCTCCTATTTTGGCAACTAATACCATACCTTCAGCAACCACAGCTGGTAAGTTGACAATCAGTGTTCTTCCTGCTCAAAAAGATTGAGGTGTAAGTGATGAGTTAATTTTTCATATCTTAGCTTCAGTCAGAGAAAAAGAATAGGCTGGAAAAATTCTTTCAACTTTTGCAGGTGCTTTTTAGGTTTTGAAACTCTGTAATAGGTGTAAAGAGACCATTGTTGAAGAATTTCTCTTTTTTCTCCTATTTCAGGATCTGTGTCACACACACAGGCTCCCACAAGTACAATTGTTACCATGACAATGCCCTCACATTCATCCCATGCTACTGCTGTGACCACTTCCAATATCCCAGTTGGTAAGTATCAAGCAGCCTTAAAACACAAGCTTAAACGGAAATTTTCAACCCTTCTCAGTGGGTCTTCATGTTGATAACTAGTAGTAGTGGTTTTCATTGTTGGTTTTCTAAGCAGTGCTGAATTTAGCTTTTAACATTTGTTATACAGATTTGACAGAGACAGTAGGGGGGTAAGTAGGGTATAGCAGTCTTTGAGTGCTCAAAGTATACATAACTACTTTTGACTTACCAAATTTTACCTCTTTGAGGGGTACCTTTTAAAGAATTGTTTTAAAATATATTGAAACTGACATAGTTAGAGAAGAACAGGAAAACAAGAAAGAAGCAAAGATCTGGCATGCAGAAAAATTTGTGCACTGATAGATTACTCAGGAAAGATCCTGGGTAATGCAATACTAACTCTCTGGGCAGTTAGCCTGGTTTCTCATCTGAGTGCTCCTTTGATACTGCATGGCCATCCTTCTTGATTATTCCACTTTTAAATGTGTGTGTGTGTTCTATTAAAAACACCTCTAATCAGTTTTTGTAGCGACCAGATCCTAGTCTTCAGGAGCAGAGATTGGTAAATGTTTTCTGTAGGGCTGGACAGTAGATCTTTTAGGCATTGAAGTCCACCTTGTTCACCCTTGTACAGTGTGTAGACAAATGGGAGTGGCTGTGTTTCATTAGGACATCTTATGGGTGCTGTCATTTGAGTATGATGTAGTTTTTATTGGTCATAAAATAGTCTTTGAATCTTTTCCCTCAGTTTTAAAGTATAAACCCATTTTTAGTTCACAGGTTATACAGAAAAGAGCAGGTTAGGTTCACAGACCCAGATTTGCCAATGCCTATTTCATGGGCTGTTACGCATAAGCCTACGGGGCAGAACGCATTGCTCTTTAAGCCGTGAACCAGAGGTTTAATCACTGTTTTTACCTTTGTCTCTGTTCTCTAACGATGAACATATCATCTTACTGTCTCCACACCTGAAGAGATCAGACAGCTGCAATATAATTACTGTATAGTACTTTCAGAAGTAAGGCTGATTTTTTGTGAGAGAATACACTGAACTGTCAGGAATTGGGTCATCAGACACAAAGTATGGCTCCCTCGCTGTTGTGTCCCAGCACTGGGGTGCGCTTTCTCACCCTCCTCCCTTCTTCCCCATGTGAGATAGGCTGGAGCTTCACAGTCTTCTTAAACCTTAAGGTCACTTTTCTAGTGTCCTTTGTATCTAATTTAATAGAAGGACCAGAAAGATCCTTGCAGGTTACTGAATTATATCGGCCCTTAAACTGTTGCCAAGCCCCACAAAAGCTTGTAGCAGAAGAGCACTGCTGCTGGATCTTTCTCACATTAGTGCTCACTACACATTGGTATCTGAGAGACCGAATATGTCCAATTTAATTTCACCTCTCTGAAAATCCAGCGTGTGTGTGTATGTGTGTGGTTTAGCATTGATACACTAGTTGAAAAAGATAGTTAACAGGAACACTTGTCATTTCAAACCTTTTCCTGACTCTCTCTAAAAGTATCATTTGTTTCCTCGCACTTTAATGGCAGAGCCAGGTCCATTCTTTACATTTACAGTCTAGAACCTCACTAGGGTATCTGTAGATATGAAGAAAGCCAGACCAATAAAGAGAGGGTAGTCACCCCACTAGGGGCTCTCTGGTTTTATGTTGAGTCCTCTATGAAAAATTATTATTTTTTTTTAAAGATTTATTTATTTATTCATACAGAACTGGGGTACAGGCCAGAGATGCGGAGGGTGAGAGGATTCACCAGAGACAGAGCGGGGAGCAGAACAGGCAGATGGACGAAGTACACTGCTGAGGGAGCAGTGGGCGGGTCAGGAGAGGTCTGCCACGCCATGTGGATCTCCTCCAGGGCAGGCCAGGATCGAACTCATGCGGAAGTGGCTTTAGCTTCTTAGTGCTGTGCTTTAACCCACTGCGCCACCAGGGAGGGCCATGAAAAATTATTTTATAGATAATTATTAATGTGATGATATATGCCTGAGAGATCACACTGGAATAAACTCAGTAAAAAGTACCAGGAACAGGGCTAAAGAAGCTAAAGCCACTTCCGCGTGATTTCAATTCCTGCCCCGGAGGTGACCCACATGGCGTGGCAGACCTCTCCTGACCCACCTGCTGTTCCCCTCAGCAGTGTACTTTGTCAGTCGCCTGTTCTGCACCCTACTTTTGTCTCTGGTGTATCCTTTCACTGCCCCTGCACCTCTGGCCTGTACTCCAGTTCTGTATGCATGAGTAAATAAATCTTTACCAAAAAAAAAAAAAAGTACCAGGAACAGAAATAGTTCATTGTTGGCCATATTTGTCAGCTTTTTACCTGTCCTTATTCTTAGCATGTTTATCTTTGAATTTTAATCATTTCCCTGTTTTAGTTAAGAAAATCACTTGACAGAAGTATCCCAACAGATTTAGTATTTGTTATGTAATGTGACTCTCTTGTCTAGGTCCCTGAGGTTTATGTTCTGCTTTTGTTTTCCTCTTTCATATTAACCTAAATATTTCTTTGCCACATCATAATGGGACCCCTGTACAAAGTTTCTTAGTTGAAATGGCAAACTTGATTGTAGTTCTCAAACATTGATTTTCAAGTTGGATTGTAGGAAATATGTTCAAATCATTGAAGGAATTTTTGCCTGGTGGTACTTGGTACAAATAAGATTTAATATGGAATGTGGCCATTATTATTAACAGGAGCATGTTAGAATAGACGGCAAATACTCAGTTAACCATGAGCAGAGGATTGCCTCTAACTAATTGTTAGTTTCCAGTAGGATGCCATCCTTATTTTCTTCAGAACACAAGTAACTGTGATCTCTGAATTATAAAAACAGAATCAGATGATTGCAGCATTCAGAATAGGTATAGCCTTTGGATATTTTGTTTTTGTTTTTCCAGTGATTCAGAATCTAGAATAAATAAATTCATGGGTGTATGTTTGCTTGCCAACTACTGGTTAATTAGTCTTCCAAATGATAGTTGCTATTGGAAGCATTATTCTTTCTATCCTTTCATGGACACAATGAACACAAGGCCTAGTTGCTTTCCACCTAGCACCCCTTCTTCTGGTGGCAGCTTCTCTCCACATTAGCCAGTAGAAGTGATCACCTGTGATGGAATGGGTATCCCAGCAATCATCCTGCAGAGACTTTGTGTTGCTACGGAAGTATCTAGGCATCATGGTGGGTCAGTGCTGCTTCCTTTGACCTGTGCACTGTTCATAGGGCAGCATGGTGACCTCTTCTTGGCCTCTACTACCTATCACTAGTGTAACTTACATCTTAGATGGAAGCTGATCCTCCACATCTGTGATGTAGTTCACAGCTCTCCTCATAAATTCCCAGAGGCAGTGGTGATAGGTTGATAATAACTTATGTATATCACAGTTCAGCTGTACTCTGCAATCTAAACAGAATCTGATTGCAAGTTGTGGAGAACAGACATTGAGAATCAGAATTAATTTGAACTCTGGTGGTTTTGATTTTGCTGTAAAGTATTATATAAAATCACTGACATTCAAAAGGTCTTAGAAATTACTAAATGATAATCCCGAGCAAATCTCCTTATAGATGAGGAAATTGATACTAAGAAATCAGAATGATTGACTAATTACTAATTACAGACCCTGGAGTAGAGTCTAAAGTTCTTTTTCTATATGATTGCTTTCTGAGTTCCCCTTGGATTTTGAGACTTTTTTTTTTTAGGATTTATTTATGCATACAGAATTGGGGTATAGGACAGAATTGGGGTCTTGGGAGGGTGAGAGGATTCACCAGAGACAGTGGGAAGCAGGCAGACTGACAGAGTATACTGCTGAGGGAAGCAGCAGGCAGGTCAGGAGAGGTCTGCCACGTCATGTGGGTCATCTCCCTGGCCAGAGATTGAACTCGCAATGCAGTTTCACAGTGCTGCACTTTTAACCTGTTGTGCCACCAGGGAGAGCCCAAGGCTTTATTTTAGACTATAGAGACTTGGTCGGGTTCTTTTCCCTGGTGTTCTTGCCCTTATTTTTTGGGAGTGAGGCTATGCATTCATTTCTGCCAACGATGTTTATTTTCTTTACCAGGCAATGTGCAATGGTTAATTTTTTTTTCATTGTGGAAGTTTGAGAGGTATTTTTTATTTTCTTGATTACCTCAGTGTCCCTTTTTGTAAATTAGAGTAAGATATTTAGATACGAATCTGATGGTGACCTTTTGTTTGCTAGTAAATGGATGACTAAGGGCTTGTGTGTGTTTTGTGTTAGTCACCTGTATAGTCAGAACAGCTTGTAAAACAAATTGAGGGAACACCAAGAGAATCTGTCTTCACCATTTCTGCATTCAAATTTTTGTTAATTTCTTTTTTTACTTTAAAACTTCTCCTTTTGGGCCCTCCCTGGTGGCGCAGCGGGTTGAAGCACTGCACTGAGAATCTAAAGCCGCTTCCGCATGAGTTCGATTCCCGCCTGCCCCGGAGGTGACCACATGGCGTGGCAGACCTCTCCTGACCCGCCCGCTGCTCCCCTCAGCAGTGTACTTCGTCCATCTGCCTGTTCTGCTCCCCACTCTGTCTCTGGTGAAGCCTCTCGCCGCCCCTGAGCCTCTGGCCTGTACCCCAGTTCTGTATGCACAAATAAATAAATCTTTAAAAAAAAAAAAAAAACTTCTCCTTTTGATATAAGGTTTCCTAGAAGCTAGATTGGGGTGAGAGGGTGGGATCCTGGTATTTTTAGTATCAATATTGAATACTGCTTTGACACATAGTAACAATATGAATATATCAGTGGATTATTGTAGTGTAAAATAATTCATTTGAACCGTATACTCTCTTTATTTTCCGTTTTTATTATCTTATTTCTGCTTGCATCCTTAAGATTGTTTTGGTATGCCAGTACAAGCATGTAAGTGATAATGAAAAATTGGATTTAATTTTTTTTGTAGCTAAGGTGGTGCCTCAACAGATCACCCACACTTCTCCTCGGATCCAGCCTGATTACCCCGCTGAGAGGAGTAGCCTGATTCCCATCTCGGGACATCGGGCCTCTCCAAATCCTGTGGCCATGGAAACCCGAAGTGACAATAGGTAGGAGGGAACATGACAGTTGCACTACCCCACTGTGTCGTCGTTTCAGTTTTTTCAATAAAACAAAATACCCTCAGAAAAGACATGTATTTTTATTTTCAGTTTCCCTCCAGAAAATAATATATCACGTAATTTTCTTTTTAGTTTATGAAAATGTGTCATTCTACTTTGCTTGGATGTCCTATTAAGCACCCTTATTTTTGTTTTGTGTGTTTATTTTGAGCCCTTTCAAGAAAAAGGGTTGTAGCGCCATCGCTCCTTCTGCCTAAGTGTTTCTGTTTTTTGTTTCCTGAGAATAGAAACTCTTAGATCACTCAGTGCAGTGACCTGGAACCATAGTTATCTGAAACCATTTTTTTTATTATATTGATATTTTTGAAGAACATAGATAGGCTAGTTATTTTTGTAGAAGACTCTTCGATTTGGCCTTGTCAGATTATTTCTTCTTAGTGAGTTATATATTTTTGGAGTAAATATCATTTAGGCACTGTCTTCTTGCCACTGTTACTACGTGCTTTTTCTTTGTCCCATTTTAGTTATGTCAACATTAATTACTTCATGGAGGTGATGCTTGCCAGATATTGCTATTGTAAAGATAATTTTTTCTTATAAACAACTAATCTGTGTGGAAATAATTTGAGGATCTATATCCTGTTCTCCAGTAAACTTCACTCAATAGTGTTAGTGTCTGTGGATGATTCTTGACTGAATCATTTGATGGTTGCATAACAGTGGTTGCAAAATAGATTTTTACTAAATATGATGTCTTTCTTTCATGTTTATCAATTGTCATTCATATCCCAATTTTTTTCTTTTTGTCAGAATGGACTTAAATGATTTGAGGTTAATTTTTTTCCACACTGTCATCTGTTTTAATGTTTAAATGATTCTGAGCTAGACCCTGGGGATCCACTAGTCCTGTGTGTTTCCCATATTTCCAGTTTTTCAAGCTCTTCTTAGTGTCCCACCATGAAAAAACAATCGAGGGTTCTTGTGATTTTGGTCTGTCTGAACTCTGGAGTCTGCCATTTCTTCAGCAACCCATCATTTCTTTTCATTATTTAAATACCACGATTGAGGTATTTACACTGCTTGTCATCTCTTCTAGACCCTTTCAGCAGACAGGGAGAAAAAAGTGTGTAACATTTTAAAAACCCTACTACATGCATACACCTCTATCTCAATGCCATTACCCCCACTTTCCAGCTTTCTGTCTCCCTTCTCCCACAGTGATAACTTGCTATAGTACATACAAAGTGGTTTTAGAATTGGATCATGGAAAAATGTTTTAACTTGGTCATTATGGTGTGTAGGAAAGCTTGTATGGTTTGAAACATTCACCTATGCCCACCCACTTTGCTGAACACATCAACTAACTTCTAAAAGTTTGAAGATCTTTGCATTTCCTATATAGATAATTTTTTAAAAAGCTTATTTATTCATACAGGTTGGAGTACAGGCTAGAGGTGCAGGGGCAGTGAGAAGCTTCACCAGAGACGGAGTAGGGAGCAGAACAGGCAGATAGACAAAGTATACTGCTGAGGAGAGCAGCAGGCGGGTCAGGAGAGGACTGCCACGCCATGAGGGTCTCCTTTGGGGCCGGGGATCTCACACTGAAGTGGTTGCGGATAGCTTGCAGTACTGCATCCTAACCCATGTGCCACCAGGGAGGGCCCCTATGTAAATAATTTTTATATTAATCTACAGATAAGGACAGTTCTGTTTTTAAAAAAAAAAGATTTATTTATGCAGACAAGAACTGGGGTGCAGGCCAGAGGAGTGGAGGTCAGCAGATTCACCAGAGACAGAGTGGGGAGCAGAATAGGGAGATAAACTGAAACTACTGCTGAGGGGAGCATCGGGCGTGTCAGAAGAGGTCTGCAATGCCATGTGGGTCACCTGCCTGGCGGGAGATTGAACTCGTGCTGTGGTGACCATCATGGATAGTTTCATAATGCTGTGCTTTGACCCGTTGTGCCAGGGATGCCCCAGGACAGTTTTTCTAAGGAATGAGTGAGTGCTTTTCTTTTCAATTGGGTATATATTTGTTGTTGTTGGCTAGAACTTCCAGGATGATGTTTAATAGAGCAGAGATATTGTGAATGGGAATCCTAAGATTTTATTATAGAATTTGGTAGAATGTAGAGAGCACAGCAGAGTAAAGTGGTAGACCATGGGTGTGTTGATAGTGGGTGCACCACAGTGGGGAATACCAGGAAGGGAGGATTGTTAAACTTACAAAATACCAACAACAGTGTAATCCAACATTACCTTAATGCAAATAATTAATTTTTAATTATTTTTTTGTCGGTAGAGTACTGTTTTTAATATGAAGAAGTTTTTTATTCCCATATCTGAAGCATTTATATCATGACAGTATTGAATACTGTTAAATATTTCTTGTATCTTTCTTAATAGCACTGCAATGAGTGTTGTCTTTCCTTTTTTCCTTACTATCTAAAACATTTATAGGAATTTCTATATTTAATCATTCCTGACTTTGTGTTGTAAAACATTTGCTGGATAATACATTTAATTTCATATAATGAATCCAATTTTATTAGGATTTTTTTTTTTCATTAATGTGGACAAAAAGAAATTTGTTTATAGTCTTTCTCCTGCTCTTCCTGTCCAGTTTTGGTATCAAGAATACTTAACTCAGAAAGTAAATTGGACCTTATCTCTTCTTGAGAGGGGAGTCTCTGAATCAGTTCCTATACATTTGGGATTATCTGTTTCATGAAGTTTGTCTATAAAGCATTCTGAGTTTAGTCTTTGAGGCAGAATTAAAAAAGGAGGACCTTTGATTGCTGGGATTTTACTATTTTTAACCCAATTTAGAAATAAGATAAGATATAATATGATATAGTTCTTTAGTACATATTTAGTTTTTTAAAATGTGACTTTTCTCTAATGTATTTCCTTTGATCTAGAAGTTTAGGACATAATTTGGGAAATTTTGATGTTGCAGTTAAGAATGTGAAGAGCGGGCCCTCCTTGGTGATGCAGTGGGTTAAAGCACAGCAATAAGAAGCTAAAGCACTTCAGCATGAGTTCAATCCCCACCCCAGAGGTGATCCACATGGCCCGGCAGATCTCTCCTGACCTGCCCACTGCTTCCCTCAGCAGTGTACTTCAATGATCTGTCTGTTCTGCTCCCCACTCTCTCACCACCCCTGCACCTCTGGCCTGTACCCTAGCTCTGTGTGCACAAATAAATAAATCTTTAAAAAAAAAATGTGGGCCCTCCCTGGTGGCGCAGTGGGTTAAAGCACTGCACAAAGAAGCATAAGCCACTTCCGCATGAGTTCGATTCCCGCCTGCCCCGGAGGTGACCACATGGTGTGGCAGACCTCTCCTGACCCGCCCGCTGCTCCCCTCAGCAGTGTACTTCGTCGATCTGCCTGTTCTGTTCCCCGCTCTGTCTCTGGTGAATCCTCTCACTGTCCCTGAGCCTCTGGCCTGTACCCCAGTTTTGTATGAATAAATAAATAAATCTTAAAAAAAAAAAGTGAAGATCATTGGAAAGTAAAGAAGAAAATAGACCCTTTGAGTCATAATGTTTTTTCTATCAACAGACCATCTGTTCCTGTTCAGTTCCAATACTTTTTGCCAACATACCCACCTTCTGCATACCCACTGGCAGCACACACCTACACCCCAATCACCAGTTCCGTGTCCACCATTCGACAGTACCCAGGTAAGAGCCTCCTGTTAAAATGACTTAGTTTTTTAGTTGTTGCAAATAATGAGCAAGCAATTGATCATTGGGTATGTCTACTATGGGATTTAATAATCCCAACTTTTTTCAGGTTCAAACTTTATGCTAAAGTCTATAAAATGATTTTTACTTATGATCTTTGCATGATTTTAGCCCATCCTGAGGATAATTAGGTTAATGGTTTTTGTTAGACCTTAAAATGGTAGTACAGTTAAAATGGACAAAGCTGTACTTTGTGATACTTCACTCACTTTGTAGGATACCTCCTGTCTTTTTAGTTTTAGTTTTACATTTAGCATCCTGAATGTAGAGAGTGTTCTTTTCCAGACAAAAACAATGCTTAGAGCGAAAGGTTTGTGTACTATTCTCCTGTGGTACCCTTGGCTATCTTTTCCATATTGTGGGTGTCCTTCTGTGAAATTCAGGACGATAGAAGGGCTTGTGGTGACTGTATGCCTGGCAACTGAAGACTGAATATTTTCACTAGTAGATTTTACACAATCAAAATGCAAACCAAATATTTCTGATGAGAACTTAGTGTCTGAATTAAACCATACTTTAAGATATACCCTGAATATTGAAGACTTGGTATGCAAAAGAGTATATAAAATATCTTAAGATGATTCTATAGAGATCACATTTTAGTATTTTGGATATTTTTGGTTAAATAAAATGTCATTAAAATTAATTTGACCTGTTGCTTTTTACTAATGTGGCTACTGGAAAATTTTAAATTGGGTATTTGACATATTTCCCTTGGGCAATACTCTAAAACTGTCAAATACTGTAACTTGTTTAAGTAGCTTTAGAGATAGGCTCCTCAATCTCTGAATTGCTTTCATAACCCAAAAAAAGAAAGATCTTCTGTTTTACAAATAGTGAGAAATCCCTTCTTTTTTTGTTGCTTCATGGAAATGTTTTCAATTTTGTTGAGTGTTTTTCATATACGTAGTAGATAATGTAGATTGTGTGTCTTATAGGAAAAAAGCTACAATTTTTGTTCTCTCCTCACTGGATATATAGAATTTAATATTTATAACTACTATATTTCAGAAATGTCCATGATAGTAGTTTGTGTGTTAAAGATTTCTGACCTGGAAGTCATGGCTGTATCTCAGAAGCTTGAGGCTTTTTGTCTGCTTATATATAACCTCCAATGCCTTAACATTAATAATTTGGCACAATTGTCTGGCTCACATTTGAAATTGAGTTTGAAATTGATTACTTTTTCTTGTTCAAGTCCTGTTTCCCAGTAGCCTACAGAAAGAGTATACCAAATTGGCAAGCATGGGGGGGGGGGGTCCCCGAGTATATGGCTTTAATTAGCACTTTCTTTCTCTCAAGTGAAAAATTTGTCTTCACTTTAGGGTTTTTCTCTTTGTGTGAACTATATCATATCAGATCTAACATTCTTGTAGTCACTTTATGCACCATTTTTAGTTTCAGCTCAGGCTCCAACCTCTGCCATCACAGCTCAGACTGGTGTCGGGGTGGCATCGACAGTCCACCTAAACCCCATGCAGTTGATGACAGTAGATGCATCTCACGCTCGACATATCCAAGGGATCCAACCAGCACCTATCAACACACAGGGAATACAGCCAGCCCCCATCGGGACCCCAGGAATACAGCCAGCTCCAATTGGCACACAGGGAATACACTCAGCAACCCCAATCAGCACGCAAGGACTTCAGCCTGCACCACTGGGTTCTCAACAGCCTCAACCGGAAGGAAAGACTTCAGGTAATTTTAATTCTTTGCATGATATTTCTTGTGTAGGAAAGAAATACATGTGGGCTTAAATCCTGGTTCTGTCCCTACTGCCTTAGTGGTCTCAGTTAATTTCTCTAGGTTTTAGTTCCCTCTTATACTCCAGGTTGCTTTGAACTTACTTGTCAGGTTCATTATCAGAATTAGAAATTACATGAACATCTCAGTTGGCTATTTGTGCAAGGAGAAACACATTCTATAAAGCGCTCTTAGTTGAGAGAACAGATTCACCCATTAGCAATAGTGTTCTCATTTTTAATATTTTCATCAGTGTTGCTTGGAAAGCTGTAGAACTAAGATGCACTGAAATGTTTGGGATTGTGAGTCAGCATGTTTTATAAAAACTACAGGAGAGTATTTCTTGAAGTATACTGTGTATTTTATGTATTTTTCATTTGTAATATGACTATAAAGCAAAGAAAAAGGGTTATTGATCATGCCTCAGTAGACTTAGTAACTCTCATTTGGACATCTGGTTTAGGCAGATACAGTTTATGCACCTCCCATCCCTTCTTGAGCTTGGGCAGTCATGACACTGGTACTCTGGTTCTGGTGATCCAGTCATTTTCTTTTGTCTTATGTGACATTTTAGTAATGTTTTCTGTTTTTCTCTCTTTATTGTTCTTTCCTGTCCCCTCTCTTCTTCAGCAGTGGTATTGGCTGATGGAGCCACAATTGTAGCCAACCCTATTAGCAATCCATTCAGTGCTGCTCCTGCAGCAACAACTGTGGTGCAGACCCACAGCCAGAGTGCTAGCAGCAGTGCTCCAGCCCAGGGCTCATCCCCCCGGCCAAGTATACTCCGGAAGAAACCTGCCACGGATGGGTGAGTACACACACAAGTGCCAGGTGGCAACTCTAGTGCTCACTATCATTGGTAAAAGCAACAGGCACTCTACCAGTGCTGGCAGAAAACTGCAGTTGCCCCTCTTCTGTGGCATTTTTAAATTTCCTCCAAAGTATCTTGACCACAGGGTTGCTTAATAGACCCTTGTTGAGCTTGGACTGCAGGATGCCAAAGGTCAGCAGAGTGTCAGTTTACAAGCATCTGTTGGATACAAGTATGGCAGTTCTGGTTCTGGAGATTTCATCTTAAACTCGCTGAAGGCCCTTGGCAGTGAAAGCTTCAGGCTTATCTAGGTGGGAATACTAGTGTGTGCCATATGAATTATTGTTCAGGGCAGGTGGCTTCCTGTAGGTACTAAGAATCATATTTGGTAGCAAATCGTGTTCTGTGTTGCTTTATAAGCTTCTGAGTTGATGGGTCATAAGCTGGGCTTGAAAACTTTGCCGGTAGAAGGTGAGCAGTCACGTTTGAGACAGGAGTTCTGTGTATAACTTAGCTGATAGTGTCAACATCAGCATTTTAAAGCCTAGTAAGAACTTAAATTGCTGGATCCGGGAAGAATTTTCAGATGTGCAGTGCTTTGCTTCGACAGCCTCTGTTTTAAAGATAAATTACTGATCTATCCATTGATGAAAACACAAGGCAAAGCTTGTAGTTAGGAAGGCAGAAGAACACGCCTAAACTTCCATTCAAAACCTATAGAACTTCAGTAAAAAGACTTTAAGAAAAAAACTTATAAACACAAGGAAGGAGAGATGGAGGATACGACACATCAAAACTTTAAAGTTAGAGATTAGACAGGTGTTGGCTCCCTAGCTATGAGGAAACTGAATGTTCAGACCGCAGAGACATTGAGGACCATTCTTATTTAAATTCTTCAAAAGAACCACCAGAAAACTGGCCATGAAAGGAAGCTGACTGAAATCAGTTTGAGGGGTGATTATAGCCCTACATGTCCCTGTTTAATCACATTGGTGTGCTTCCCTCCTCCTCCACACTCAGCTCCCTGGACACTTGCAGGTGATCCCCTGGAACAGCAGATAACGGAGCCATGACTACTTTCATAGAAACAAAGTAGTGATTGTGCATTTTGGAATGCTGAGGTTTCACATCAGCTCTCCCTTCTACCTGACAGAACCCTGGCAGCCAAACCACACTGTATAGACAGAAAGGGAAGAGAGGACTATTTTCAGGACAAGTCTAAAGATACCAACACTAGGGCTTCCCTCTGGCCAGGGATCAGATGATCCTACAGAGAACCTTAAAGTAGATAAACCCTCCTGCAAAGTCAGAGCTTTCATCAGCTTTTTAGTACCCTTGGTCTTCATCATGTGCTTAAAACCAAAGGTATCTGAGGGGACTACTAACAATGCAAGATAGAAATCATAGCAAACATGCTTTTAAAAGCACTTAGGAAAATGCAAGGTCATGCAAAGGCAATAAAGCTAACAACCAAAAAAGGAAAAAAAAAATACCCAAGATAAAAGCTGTTAGTAACATCTTCCATGACCAAAAGAAAAAATTACCTCCACAAAAAGGGAAGGCAACACTACAAAATGTAGATTTGGAGAACAAAAGAGTGTGTCCTGAAACTAAAAGTAGGTAGCAGAAATCAGAAAATAAGTGATTTAGTTAGAAGTTGGGGAAATTCTGAACAGTAGAACAAAAAGACAAGGTAGAAAATGGTCAAGAAAATTAAAGAACTAGCTCAGGATAGTCTTACGTTTCATTATGGGATTTAAGTGAGGGAAAGAGATGGTGAGTCACTTAAAAACAAAACTCATTGACCACATGGTGTAGCAGACCTCTCCTGACAGGCCCACTGCTCCCCTCAGCAGTGTACCTCATCGATCTGCCTGTTCTGCTCCCCACTCTGTCTCTGGTGAATCCTCTCGCCGCCCCTGAGCCTCTGGCCTGTAGCACAGTTCTGTATGCACAAATAAATAAATCTTTAAAAAAAAAAAAAACTCATTGAAAATTACCCAAATTGAAGACCTGAGTTTCCTGATTTGAAGAATCACAACAACCTTGGCACAGTAGATGTAATGGGCACAAATAACTCAAATCAAAATAAAACAATTTTGAAGTTTCACAGCACCAGGAAAAAATGACCTGCCCCTTCTCCCATACCTTGCCTTACAAAGATCTTCAGCTGCGCCCTCTGTGATTCATCTAAATGCTGTGTCCTTGCTTTTTCCGGAGCATAAAGCCAACGATGTCTGAGGGGACTTCTAACAAGGCAGGGTTCCTCAGGGTCTCCAATGCCCTACACTCCCAAGTGACGCGTGTCTGTCCTCACCATCCTTCTGTCAGTGCACATGGAGTGGGATAGCTGTCAGCACCTGGTCTGTGTTGACGTTTCTTAACATTTATATATGAAAAAGTAGTTTCATGTAGCCAAGTTGTTTCAGACATAGTGAAAGGTTTGCCAATCACCAATCAGGTACTAACCTTCACATTCAAATTAATTTTAAGTGAAATATCATTAAGATTTTTGCTACTTGGTTGCACTTGCTACCTCTCAAGTGCTTAGGAGAGGAGCACCTGTGGATGGCTAGTGGCTAGCATGTTGGACAGGGCAGCGCTAGATGCTTAAGCAATTCAAGTATGATGTTGGAGGATGGTTGTATATCTGAAAATTCTTTTTTATTTTTTTTTTCATCTCAATTGTAATCCCCGTGGTGAAAATTCTTTTAACTTCGTCAATTTAATAAGCTCCCAGCCTAGCTTCTCAGTTACTTGAATGTGTTTCCTCTCTAAGCACCGGTTCCTCCTCAGCACACAAGGTTCCTTATAAACACACAAGGAAGGAGAGATGGAGGATACAACAGCATCAAAGCTTTGAACTGAGAGATTAGACAGGTGATGGCTCCCTCGCCGTGAGGAAACTGAATGTTCAGTCCGCAGAGAAGTTGAGTTGAGGACTGTCCTCACTTAAATTGCTGAATCTTCAAAAGAACCACAGTTCAGCCTGCTTTCCTTGGCCTTTTCTGTCCCAGTGTTTCACAATCTCCTCTCCACCCCATCAGCAGCAGTGCCCTAACTCCCAGCTGTACCGGGAGCCTTTAGTCCCGACCTGCCTTTTCACTTTCTTCACTGCCTTTCAGCGCCCCTTCTCTGCTCTTACTGAGTTAGGTTGCATGGTTCATTTGCAACCATTTCCTTTTTTTTGCACAGTGCTTCAGCTTCCTTGTCACCTTTACTTTGTCAGAACCAGAATTAAATCACTTAATTTGTGCTTGTAGATTACGGCTGGGAAGGCAACCATGTTCACTGGTGTAGTTTCACTGCACAAACCTCCAGTAGGACCTTACAGACCTCCACATATATTGCCACTAAATGACACTGTCTGCTGGACACATTTGCCTCGCTCAGAACCTTGTCCCCATAGTCACTGTAACTGATGAATTTACTGTTTTGTTGTTGTTGTTTGTTTTTTCCTTTTTTTTTCCAGAAAATGGAAACAACTAAAAGAACTCTCCAGCCTCTAGTTGTCACCTTCTCTAACCTGTTAGCATCTGTTACCCTGCTCTGCTTCCCACCTGTCACTGTAAATGAACTCTAGGGGTTCTCTCCACAGCACATGAGAGCTCCAAAACACTAAGTTCCAAAGCTCTCATATGTTCATCTCATCAAGAACAGAGAGTTCTCACACTCTCCCTCTCTCCTACACAATCATCTTTTCCTTGCTGGTGGGTCATTTACAGAATAATATAAAGCTGGCAGTCATTTCTTCCATCTTCAAAAAGTTCCTTCTTTTGAGCCACTTGGTGCCACTATCTATCTATCTAGCTCTTTTTTTTTTTTTACTCCTGTTTGCAGAGAAAATAAAAATGGCATTTATATTTGCCATCTTCAGTTTTTCCCATCTCTGTCTTTCAGTATTTTCATTGAATGTATGTAATAGCATAATGGGTTAGCACAGAGTGAATACAATATTCAACTCTGGATAAGGCAATAAACAAAACCTTGCCAGCACTTTCCTTCCAAAGGTAGCCATTCAAGTTTTCTTTTGACCTGATAGGTTTTGCCTCTTTCTGAACTTAGAGCATTATATGTTAACCCCCTTTTTTTTTTGAGTCTAGCTTCCTTCACTTGTTTTTATGTGATTCATCCGCATTGTTTGTTGCATTTTGTAAGATGTTGATTGTATTGTGATTGTGATTTTTTTTATTGCCATATAAAATGCCTTTTGAAAAAAGTATACTTCATACAGAATGAGGGTACAGGCCAGAGGTGCATAGGTGGTGAGAGGATTCACCACAGAAAGAGCAGGAAGCAGAACAGGCAGATTGATGAAGTACACTGCTGAGGGGAGCAGCGGGTGAGACAGAAGGGGTCTGCTGCACCATGTGGATTAGCTGCCTGGTCAGGGATCGAACTTGTGCTGAAGCAGCAGCAGCTAGCTTCGTAGTGCTGCACTTTAACCTATTGCCCCACCAGCGAGGGCTCCTAAAATGCCATTATATAACAGTGCCATAATAAATCCAAGGATAATTTGATTTTCCTAGTCTTTGGTCATAATGTCCTGAGCATTTTTTGTGTGTGACCTTTGATGCATGCATAATTACATTTCTGGGTTGTAGGCTGTGGTAATGTTCAGTTCTAGCAAGTACTGCTAGCAGTTTGCAAGGGCTCATCCCCATTTACACTCCCATAGGTGGGATCACTGTGCTCATCACTACTGATAATTGCTACCAGCACTCTCGTTAAGTTGGGACATTATATGGTCTTACAGTGGTACTGTATCTCATTGGGTGGTTTTGTTTGATTTTGATTTGGGGGATGGGTAGTAGAGTTGCTCTTTCTTTTTGTTTCATAGAAAATTTCAACATAGTAAGATTCTTTAAACCTAAGTGTGTGTATATATATTCATATCCAACTTCACTTAGCAACTCATTGGGCCAATTCTGTTTAACCACATGCCTAGCCTACCCTCTAGTGTACATTTTGAATCAAATCTCAGCACATTACTTTATTCATATGTATTTCATCATGTTTGTTTAGAAATAACCCACCTTAAAAAGACATACTAGTGCCATAATATCAGCAAATACCTAGTCATTGTTCAAATTTCCAGTGGTTTCAATTGTCACAGAATGCACAAGCATTCTGATAAGGTGCACATTATAATTCATTACTGTCTCTTAAGACAGTGTGTAGTTTTCCTACATGTACTTTTTTCTTGTAACTCATTTGTTGAAGAAATTTGTTTTGTTGTTGTTCTGCAGAGTTTTCCTTCTCCCTCCCCTCTGGTTTTGTGCACTGGAACCCATTGTATTAGCCTCCTAGAGCTACTGTAGCAAATTTTGGTGGCTTAAAACAATAGAAACTCATTTTCTCAAATTTCTGATGGTCAGAAGTCTGAAATTAGGGTGTCAACAGGGTTGATTCTAAGTGCTCTCAGGAAGAATCTGTTCTGTGCCTCTCTCAGCTTCTAATGGTTATGAGGGACGCTTTACTCACTTCTTAGCTCATGAACACAGTGCTCCAGTCTCTGTTTCTGTGTTCATGTGATCTTCCCTTTGTATCTTTCTGTTAAATCATTGAATTTAGAATCTCCCCTAATTAGAATCATTTATCCAAGCTCCTTAATTACATTCACAACACTATTTTTCACACACAAGAACCAGGGATTAGGTTTTAGATATATCTTTTTAGGGACTACATTTCAACATACCCTCCCCCCACACACATCTTTTCTAAATTGTTACTTGAATTTTAGGTTTAAGTAGTTTCACCTTTTTCCTTTTTGAAAGCAAGATAACTTTGTAAATTGTACTAGGAGACCTATGATTTCTGGTGGTGACCACTTAGAAAATATGAGCAGTTTTTGCTGATCAATGCTTAAATCCATTAATTATTAGGTGCTGCAAAATAGCCATTTTCTTTTGAACCCACTTTCAACTTGAGTTTGCTCTCACCCCCCTGACAAAACTAAGTATGTCAGGACGACTAATGGTTTTCATTGCTAAAACCAGTGGTTAACTCTTAGTCTAAGCCATTATGTGGCCTCTGCTGTATGGTGCAGTTAGTTGATCACTACCTTGATCAATTTCCTCCAAATGACTTACCCAGTTTACCATAAAATCCATAGACATTATAAATACTTACTATGGGTTTAAATTTTAATGTTAAGTAAAAAGATGTGGTATGCCCAAAGAGGCAACTAAAAGAATCACAGTGATTGCTTCCTGAGAAAGAGGGTGTGAGAGAGGCAGTAGGGAGCTCTGGAAAAGGAACCTATTGTATTTTTGTTGAAGGCTTTTTAGTACTGTTTGACTTCTTTAGTTGCATGCCTATATTTGATAACATTTTAAAATTCATTGAGAAAACAATTAGCAAATATGGTGCTTTTATTTTACTACAGGGTCTACTAGTAAATGTGTGTCTTGTATTTCTTGTCCTCTAATGCCCTCTGCCCTCTGATAGCTGTTCTCTGGGTTTGTCTCTTATTTTTCAGAATGGCAGTTCGTAAAACCCTCATTCCTCCTCAGCCTCCTGAAGTGGCTAGTCCTCGAGTGGAGAGCTCTGTGCGGAGTACATCTGGGTCACCTAGGCCTGCAGGGTGAGAACATAAATGTTCTTATCACTCTTCCAGCTGCACGTAACTAGAGAGGAAAAGGGCCTGATGCGTGTGACAAAAGTCACATCATTTGCCTGTGATATCTTTTTTAATGTACTCGCTAGCCACGGGACCTGGATGTGTTTTTCTTTTCTTTCTTTTTTTTTTAAACTGAAGTACCATTGTTTTACATCCTTGCTAGTGTTTTGTTTTTCAGCCTCTGATCTTTATGTACAAAATGGAGATACTTATATAGTATTTACTTCAGAGGAGCCTTGTGCATTTACATGAGATTATACTTCCAGGAAGGAGCCTGTCATAGTTGTTACTGTTGTCAAAAAAAGATATGACAACAGTTAATACATGTTTTTTCGTTATAGTACAGTTAATACATGTTTTTTCGTTATAGTCTTATTTCCAAATGATTTTTCAGGGAAAAAGTGATAATACTTAGGGAAAATCTCTGTCCCACCTTGCCAGTCCCCCTCTGGAATACAATCTGTTATTAACACAGTGGACAACAGTTTGTTAAATATCTTTCCACATCTTTTTCTAAATACACATTTAGATACATTGATTTTTCTTTTTAACTAAGACAACGGTTTTATAGCATTATCTGTGCTGTGGGGGGTATAGATTCGTACCTCTTTGAATGGTTACTACCACACAACATCTATCACCAAAGCACCAACTAAGCCTCTCCTCATTCCATTGGGTCTCTTCTACCTCTGGCTCCCCTTTCTGTCTGGCAGTCTCTGTCTTGCAGATTCCAGCTAAAATTGGTTTAGTTTGATAGTCTTAAAAAAAAAGAATCTTGCAATTAGATTGCATTTTTATGTATCCCAATAATAGCCTAGCATGTTAATATACTTGGGTCCATTTCCTCATAAAACTTCAAGGAAAAAATTATGTGTATTGTTTTAGAATTTGGAGATTTGTAAGAGTGACTAAAGTAGGCAAAGTGTCCATTCTCCTACATTAACATTCCACTGAGTATAGAGAAGTAGTAAATATCTGAAGAAAAAGAAGGTAGTATAAAGGAAATATAAAGTGATGGGAGGAAGAGGTCGCCACTTCTCACATAAGGCTCTCTATATAGAAGTTTTGTTTTGTTTTGTTTTGTTTTAAGATTTATTTATGCATACAGAAGTGGGGTATAAGCCAAAAGTGTCAGTGGGTGGGGGTGAGAGGATTCACCAGAGTGGAGAACAGAACAGGCAGATGGACTAAAGTACACTGCTGAGGGGAGCAGTGGGCAGGTCAGGAGAGGTCTGCCACACCATATATAGAAGTTTAAAAGCCTGAAGGAAAAGCCCTTTCTGCCCCAATGTTGGACGCCCCAATGTTGGCCTGTGCAGGCTGAGGGAAGAGCTGGGACTCAGACTTGGAGGTGGAGTGCTTACCGTCATCACTTCAACAGCAGTGCAGGAATGTGAAAATATATAGGCTCAAACTGTGCACAGTGTCTTAGTGGAGGAAATTATGATTATTCTAAGTTTAAAATATTTGTGAAAATGTCTTTAAATGTAAGTTAAACTTAAAAAATGAAAAAAGTAGTAAAAATAGTGACTCAGTACACTGTATTTTTAAATAGTGAGAAGGTAACTTTGTTTCTAGAAATAAAAGTAACAGTAAAATAAAATAGCAGTATACAGGATAAAATAAAAAGTATACAGGAAGAGGAATTCTTTTTTTCTCCAAAAGGGGATGTGTAAAGGACACTTGGCACATACACAAGCGGGCAGAAAGAACTGCCCATAGGGACAGGTTTGGTAAAAGAGGCCTGCATATTCACAGGTGGGGCAGCCTTGGCGGGAGCTGCCTCTGCTGCTTTGCAAAGGGAGAAGGTTGGTGAAGAGAAACACCTGTACAGGCACAGGTGGGCAGGAGAGCTGCTGCCTGCAGGAGTTCCTTTAATGTGAACTATTTTCCACATTACTTCCGGGACATCTTCATTCTTTCCATCAAAATCGTCACACCTTAACTAATCCTGGGGGTCTGGGTGCACATTTCACAACAACATTTTTCTTTGTCCTAGCAGCTTCCCTAGATAGCTTAACATTAATCAGAATTCGTGCTTACTTTTGAAGCAGTGAAGTCAATCATTTTTGTATTTTTTTTCTCATTCTCCTTGTAAAGGTCAGTTTCCTTCAGTGTGACTAACTTAACACTTTGGGATTTTGTGCGTGTGTGTGTGTGTCTATGTCTTTATATATATAGTTTGCAAGGTAGAAGGAAATCCACTGTTTCACCATATTGATTTTCTGTTTCTACTGCAGCTTAAACTAAATTGGCATTTCCAATCTATACCTGTTTGTATTATCATGAAATATATTTCCCCATTTTTTCCGCATTGTTGCTAACAGTAGATACTGAATTTTTCAAATGTAATTCATTGCTTTTCGTTGTTTACAATGTTTTAATAAGCAAAGTAATGTATGCAGTTCTTTTGAAGTGCTAGAAAAAACTGTTCCTAAAGGTGAAAAGCACTGAAGCATGAGACACTATCCCTTGTAAGCACCAATATGCATGAAATATGGTTGAGAAAGGGTATTTATAAAGAACCTTCCCTGGACTTTATGGTACCAACGAGTTGTGGAATTAGGGACCACACAAGCACCCATTCTGGCCTTGTTTGCCGCCAGCCGTCTATTTATGCCACCTAGAGGAATTTGTGTTGTGAAAAAATAATGAACTGAAAGCAGGATCTGCACACTCCCACGCCCAAATGAAAGGAATCTCATGTAATTAGCTGCTTTTAGAAATAGCCCAACTCATTCAATGATGAGTAAGAAAAGGTTATTATGAATATAGCAAACAGTACAAAAAGAGCAACAAAATATACTAATTTGTTCACAAAGAATGTTCACTAGAAGAAAGTTGAAGGGATAGATGAAATTTGTAACAAAATTATTTGACTGTGAATTTAAATTTTGTAATGACGATAACCACCAACTCTGTGAATGTAAACAAAGTTGGAATACAAAGACTCCCAAGAGTAAAAGACAAAACATGACATGAGTTTGTTATATTCATTAAGGATCTAGAAGCCATCACTGAACAATGACAAAATTAAAACAAACTATGTAGACAGTGAGGATAGAAACGAAAATTTAAGTTTTTTAAAAATTTCAGGGCCCCTCCCTGGTGGCGCAGCAGGTTGGAACACTGCACTGAGAGGCTAAAGCCACTTCCGCATGAGTTCGATCCCCGCCTGCCCCAGAGGTGACCACATGGCGTGGCAGACCTCTCCTGACCTGCCTGCTGCTCCCCTCAGCAGTGTACTTCGTTGATCTGCCTGTTCTGCTCCCTGCTCTGTCTCTGGTGAATCCTCTTGCCATCCCTGAGCCTCTGGCCTGTACCCCAGTTCTGTATGCATATATTATATTCATTAAGGATCTAGAAGCCATCACTGAACAATGACAAAATTAAAACAAACTATGTAGACAGTGAGGATAGAAACGAAAATTTAAGTTTTTTAAAAATTTCAGGGCCCCTCCCTGGTGGTGTTGCAGGTTAAAGAGATGTACTGAAAAGCTTATTCTTCTTTTGTATGAGTTCTTTTCTCGCCTTCCCTGGAGGTATCCACATGGCGTGGCAGACTTCTCCTGACCCGCCCGCTGCTCCCCTCAGCAGTGTACTTCGTTGATCTGCCTGTTCTGCTCCCTGCTCTGTCTCTGGTGAATCCTCTTACCCACCGCATCTCTGGCCTGTACTCCAGTTCTCTGTGAATAAATAAAATAAATCTTTAAAAAAAATTTTTTTCAAAGAGAAAATTAAAATATCCAATCAAGGCATGTACTGTGATATAAGATCACTCATATACAATATAACTTTGGAAGATTTCTTTATTGTTTGTAAAGAAAAAAAAAAGGCCTTTATTTTCTGAGCTAATTCTATTGCTTCTTGTAAAAACCTTGGAGTAAAAAAAGCAAAGGGAATTTTTTTACATTTTGAATTCTCATTAAAAGTTCAGCTTTTAAAATCAAAGAAAAGAGCTTCAGTTATTCTGTAATGCCAAAAAAGTTGGGCACATAAATACCCATTCACTAAGATGTGACGTGTTAAAGAGTTTCCTGTCATTTGTTGCATCATTTTTGCCTTTGTCTTTCAGTGCCAAACCTAAGTCAGAAATCCACGTATCGATGGCCACTCCAGTCACTGTGTCCATGGAGACTGTGTCCAATCAAAATAATGATCAGCCCACCATTGCAGTCCCTCCCACCACTCAGCAGCCTCCACCAACTATTCCAACCATGATCGCAGCAAGTCCCCCATCACAACCAGCAGTCGCCCTTTCAACCATTCCTGGGGCAGTTCCCATCACTCCCCCAATCACTACCATTGCAGCTGCCCCACCACCATCAGCAGTTGTGGGTGGCAGTCTCTCCTCTGTTTTGGGGCCTCCTCTACCTGACATAAAAGTAAAAGAAGAAGTGGAACCAATGGACATCATGAGGCCAGTTTCTGGTAAGTTTATTCACACAATATTTTCCATTGTCAGTTATTTTTTCCAAAACACTCCTCCATATCCTGAGCCCTGAGGAAGCCCTACTCCTTTATGTCCATTTTAAATTTGCATTTTATAATACTTAGAAGAAAGCATTCAACTGCTTTTGAAAACATTAACTAGATACTGCCCTTTTATTTTTTCTTAGCAAAATTAAGAAAAAGATTACTATTTCCCTAAAATGCCCTTAAATGTAGCATTTTGGTAATCATTAAGAAAATATTTCCTCTGGTAGCACAGCAGGTTAAAGCACAGCACTACAAAGCTAGCTGCAACCACTTAAGCATGAGCTTGATCCCCGGCCAGGGAGGTGACCCACATGGCACAGCACATGTCTGCTTCACCCACTGCTCCCCTCAGCAGTGTGCTTTGTTATTCTGCCTGTTCTGCCCCTCAGTCTGTCTCTGGTGATTCCTTTCACCGTCCCTGCACCTCTGGCCTGTACCCCAGTTCTGTATGCATATATCTTTGTTAAAAAAGATTTAACCATTTAGGCCCTCCCTGGTGGCGCAGCGGGTTAAAGCACAGCACTGAGAATCTAAGGCCGCTTCCGCATGAGTTCGATTCCCGCCTGCCCGGGAGGTGACCACATGGCGTGGCAGACCTCTCCTGGCCCGCCCGCTGCTCCCCTCAGCAGTGTACTTCGTTGATCTGCCTGTTCTGTTCCCCACTCTGTCTCTGGTGAGGCCTCTCGCCATCCCTGAGCCTCTGGCCTGTACCCCAGTTCTGTATGCACAAATAAATAAATCTTTAAAAAAAAAAAAAAAAAGATTTAACCATTTAACTATGTAAAATGGTTAAAGAAGTGATCATAGCTAAGTGCTGGTTATTTGCAATTTATTTTCTGCCAGTTTTTCTTGCTTAGTTATGCAATAAAATTTTATCTTTATAAAATTTTAATTAATTTTATAATATAAAATGTATGTAGTTGAAAATACTATTTTGATAAGCTTACACATTAGTAAAATATTAGGAACTTAATTAGTAAAATATTAAAACTACTTTGGAGATTTTGTTCTGTTACATTTTTTTATAATTGATAGTAGAATCTTGTTTTTCCTGACTACAAAAGCAATATTCATTGTATAGAATTCACCAATTACAAAATCAAAGTGGAAAGCAGGCCCATATGCTCATTGTTCAGTATCACCCTCACCATTTTGGCAAGAAAATTTCTATTTCCCATGGCATTTTCTCAGTAAGAGGTATGATTGTGCTGTCTCAGTTTTTAAAGCTTCTATTTTTTTTTTTTTTTTTGCTTATTTCTTTATTTTCACTTATTATGCTTTAACATATCCTGCTGCAGTACCCATAGTTAGCCTCACACTTCATCAAAAGATTCCATGGATAGCACAGGAGGGGAAATGAAATGTTCTGTTTTACCTATTCTCTCATTTATCTAGCTTGTGTTCTCTTTCAGTGCTGGAAGCTGACAGTAACCGTGCCTCAGACTGTAGGGCTAAGTGCCAGACTTATTCTCTTGGGCTCTGATGATACAGCCTTATCTAAAACAAGCACTTCTCCATCTTCTTAGAGCTTACGTTCTGTAGTAAGGATGACAAATAGTAAAAGTGGGAGCAAAGCATAAGAGAAAGTTGAGTCTGGAGCTATGATTTAAAAATAACTTGTAAAAGGAAGGCCTCACTGAGGATGTGATCTTTGAGTAGATAGTACAGAGGTATAATACTGACTATGAGGCTATCTGGAAAATGCATTCCAGGTCAAGAAAGCAATCAGTGTAAAAGTCCCACACTTGGTCTGCATTGTGTGCTCAAAGAATAGCAGAGAGATGAAGTAGATGTTGCTGAGGGAGTGTAGGAGTGGTAAATAGAGGAAAGGTTCAGTAGGCCCCTGGCTGGACCTAAGCTTTGCTAGGATTTGGTGAGGAGAGAACCTTTGTGTTTACTTTCAACTTTAAACCGACCACACTAGCCGCTGCTAGAGAATAGCCTGGAAACAAGGATGGGAGGGGGGGGAGAAGGGGTTTCATAGAGGCTGTTTCATTAACTGCATGGAACAGTAAAAGCTTAAACTGAAGTAATAGCAATCTGAACTTGAAGTGAGTGGTTGGACATTAGAATATTTTTAAAGTAGAACTGTGATGTTGAGTATGAGACGACGGCATAAGGGTCAAACTACAAAACTTTTGGTCTCAGTAATAGGAAGCACAAGGTTTCTATTAGGTGAGATAGTGAAGGTTGCAAGAAGAACCATGTTTTGTTGGAAATTAGTTTTTGATATGGAAAGTTTGAGGTATCTGATGGATCTCCAAATGGAAGTCCTTCAGGTAAACAGTTGGATTGTGAGCCTGATTTGGACTAGAAAAGAAAGGTGCAGATACATATTTGGGAGTTATTGTTGTATATATAAATTATATTTAAAGTGTTTAACCTGGTTAAGATCATCTACGGATCAGTTAAAAACATTAGTTTTGGCCTGAGCCCTAGGGCACTACACTCTTTTCTGAGTAGGAAGGCACTATTTCTGAGCAGGAAGAGAAGACAAAAGCCAGCAGAGACAAATGAATAAAGGGCCTGAGTGGACTAGAACTTTGGAGATGTTGTCCTGGTAAACGAAGGCACAAATATTTCAGAGAAGGAGTAATCGTTGGGTCATATGCTTCAGTGAAATCAGATAAGCACTGAGTGGTGACTGTTGGATTTAACAACACAGAGCTCATGAAGACCTCGAAAAGACTAGCTTTCGTATAACCAGTTGGTCAAAGCTTAATTGGGAATGGGTTCAAGAGAAAGCTGAGAGAGAGATTAGAGACAGTGAGTATAAATAACAGATGAAGAGTTACAAAGGACCAAAAAGAAGGGCAATATCTGAAGAGGGATGTCAAAAGGAAGTTATCTTTAAGGGAAATAATAGTGTTACAGAGTAGGGAGAGAGGGGCACCACTGAACCCCCAAACCTGCCTGCTCTAAATAGGTTCTCCATCCGCCATATCAAGACAAAACATATTAAGACTTCAGTGAAAAAGGACTTTAATACAGTGAGTATACAATATGGAAGACAAAGAATGTAATTTCTAAATCAAACACCTGAAGTTACCCATCCCCTCATGGGCAAAAGTCAACGCAAAAGGGACTGGTCCAAAGCAAGGCCTGAAAGCCTGCCACAGGCCTAAAGCACCATCTGGCCAGGACCCATACAGAAGGGTCAGTCTGGGAGGAAAATAGAAAAATAAAAATCAATATAAACACTGCTGTAGTCAACCTCCCCACGGGTCTCTCACCCACTCTCTTTCAACCAGTCCAGGGCCAAGAAATAGACACGTCTCCCTTTGCTCCACGTGGCTTCCTCAGGTCTCCTTCTGGCTCTCCATCCTGCTTCCTTTTCCTCTTCAGACTCCTCTTTTCTTTTCCCTGCTCAGCTCCACCCTACCTCTGGGTGGGGAAGGGAACTTCCCCTTTTCCTAGGGACCACCCAATTACAGTAGCAATGATAACGGGAATGATTCAGTAGAGAGGAAAAAATTGATGATGGAAGGGAAAGAGATGAAGTTTCCAAGCAAAGTTGAGAAGGATCGCCAAAAAAAATGAAGGGATTGGCCTCTGTTGAAAACGCAGAGGAAAAATGCAAGTGGGTGTGTGTGATAGGCATTTTTACAGGTTTTCTTTTGATTGCTTATTGTTGGTTTTGTTTGTTTTTTAATCTAAAAAAGCCAGGTCATCAGCAAATGTAAGGGTGGCTAAAGGAGATGAGGAGGTCTGATAATATATAAAACAATTATGTGGAGAGTGAATGGTCCTCTCAGGGTAGAATTTTCCTGGAGCTATAAGTAACCACTCAAGATTAGTGAGCTTTATAACATAAGACCACTCCGTTTTGTTTTTTAGCTTTCTCTAGCTCCTTCCACTTGCATAGGTGCAGACTAGTTGGAGAGTTGGGTTTAAATGATTGTGCTTTTACTAAGTGAATATGAATGAATACAATGATGGGAGACTTAGAACCAAGTGATAGAGGGAGAACACTAGCAGATGAGTGACAAGAGTAGTGGTAAGGTTAATTGATAATTTCTGATGGGTTTGAGGATTACTGGTGATTGATGACTTAAAAGGAGTGACTTGGAAAGACGGTTGAGCTGGAGTCAGATGCCAGATACTGAGGTGTGATGTTACAGTGGAGAGTATGAATATTAAAAGTATAAAGAAGAAAGCTGGAATGAAGAAGTGGTAGTGAAAACAAGAGTGAAGATGAATTTATGTATGATTTTTAATCCCCTGATGTATGATCCATACAAGCATAAATAGATGTTGTCAACTCCATATTATGAATCCTATTTTGGGGGGCTCACTATACTGTGCTAAGAAGTACTGTGAAGCTGACTGTTTATGTGTACTCCCCACTCTACCACTCTGAACACTATGAGCTGTGCAACATTTGTTATCCTTAAATGGGGGGATGATAATCTCTACTTTTCCCAATTATTTTTTAGATTATATGAGTTAGTAGGATGTGTCCTAGGAATTTGTGCTAAAGGGCTTGAAAATAGTGACTTGACATAGGTTCTATGCCAGAACAAGTCTTGAGACCACCCACTAGGAATCATAGGCTACCATCAACCCTCATCCTCTTCACTTAATGTAGTTCCTGGAACTCTAGCTGTCACATCTGAGTTCGAGGGTCACAGACAGAAGATGAAGATTAGACAATCAGATCTTCTTTCAAGGAAACATCTTAAAATGCTATAAAACACTTCTTAATTTATTATCACCAAAGCTAACCATAAGAGTCTGGTAGGCCTTCCCTGGTGGATCAGAGGCTTAAAGTGCAACACGAAGCTGTCTGCAGCCACTGCAGCATGAGTTCGATCCTGTCCAGGGCAGAGCAGACCTCTCCTGTCTCACCCATTGCTCCCCTCAACAATGTATTTCAGTCAATCTGTTCTGTTACCCACTTTCTCTGCTGAATCCTTTCAACCCCTGCACCTTTGGCCTGTACCCAGTTCTTACATGTATAAGTAAATAAAAAGTCTAGTAAATGTAGCCTTTGCACTGAGTAACAGTGTACCCATAGGAGAAGATATGAGATACTGAGAAGCAGTGTTTCTCATATTGCCAGGCACATAGGAAAACTCAGTATTACTCTTTCCTACCTTCTTTATTGTTTCTCATTGGTGGAAAACAAGTGAGGCCTTCCATTATGTTTGGGTTTTCATACGGGAGGTCTGTGTTCTTTTTTCTGACAGCAGTTCCTCCGCTGGCTACCAACACTGTGTCTCCATCTCTTGCGTTGCTGGCTAACAACCTCTCCATGCCTACAAGTGACTTACCACCTGGTGCCTCCCCAAGAAAAAAGCCTCGAAAGCAACAGCATGTGATTTCAACAGAAGAAGGAGATATGATGGAAACCAACAGCACTGATGATGAGAAGTCCACTGCCAAGAGTCTTTTGGCAAAGGCTGAGAAGCGCAAATCTCCTCCCAAGGAGTATATTGGTAATGTTCATTTGGGCTAACTGTGGTCACTTGAAACTCTCCCTTAAGGGTGACTATCCCTCGGGCAGTTTACATAGACTGGTTTCACTTGTGGTTCATTTACTGAAAGCATTCTCTAAAAATAATTGCAAGTCTGTAATAAGCTACTTATTATCTTTTCTCCTTCGTAGATGAGGAAGGTGTGAGGTATGTCCCAGTACGTCCAAGACCTCCCATTACTTTGCTGCGTCACTATCGGAACCCCTGGAAAGCTGCTTACCACCACTTTCAGCGGTACAGTGATGTCCGGGTCAAAGGTTAGTTTCCCCAAACACATACATCTAATGTTTATGAATGAACTTGGTCTTTCACTTCATTATATTGTAATCACAATAAATTAGAGAATCAAAATTTGCTATTTTCTCATAAAATGTATGTTTTGTTGTAAAATATTGGGACTTTATTGTCCAACTTAGGGAGGATACCCAGTTCAGCATAAAATTTGGAAAATTGTCCTTTGCCTTAGAAACCTTTATGTATTTATTGCAAACAGTCTTATGAATAAATGTCAACATTGGTTTACATAAAATTCATGTTGCCCACCCCTGCTTCCCAACCCCTGGTGTTGACAGGAAGAGCACCACTGGATTAATGACATCGTTCACATTAGTCCCCAAGGAATTCGCATGTCCTTGTGTCAGAAGCCCCAGGAAGTTTATTTTCCAACAGGATTTTGTTGTTGAACTTAAGACTAACATTTTAATAAATCCATATATAATAGAAATAGCTTATAGTACTTTGCAAATATCTATAAATATTCCTACTGATTAAAATAACAATCAGTAAAGAAATTTGTGTCATTAATTTCAGGATAATCATTGCACAGAAAAGTGTTAAGATTTCCTTCATATAAATTCTACTTTGGAACTTTACTGGAAGTTTTAAGATGATTCAAAATTAACTGGTACTCACTGATTTCTAAGAGCAGAAGTGAAGGTCCTGACAGTGAGCATAGACTCTGAATAGAAGTATAGAGGAGGATCTGCTTCCTAGATACTGTGTCCTCACAAATATACCAAGGTTTAAAAAGATGGTAAGATTTACAAGGGTTGGAAAATACTGATACTTGAAAGCTGGCTGTGAATCACTAAGCATCCTTTCACACCATAAGAATTTCCTATCATAGTACAATTTTTAAAGGTTTGTGTGATAAACTTTTTAAGTTATACTGAATGATTCTTACAGCTTATTGGGTCAGAAACTACCTCAAGAAAGGTATTTGACAGCTCACAATGTCCTTCAAAGAAGGACAGTATACAGATTCCTTAATCTTCTATTGAGATAGGTATATACTAAGTGCCTCCTTCTCCAAGTAAAGTAACTTTACACTTTGTTAACTTCTTTGCCTAAGCTTGAAAATCATATTCATGAATAAATCAAGATAGATTGCTAGAAATCAGTCAGGTAATTCACAGGAAGAATAAAACAGAAAATCAGGAACAAAAAGTATAGGAAACAAAGAATAAATATTACCAGGATAGTATATCAGTGACTCTTTTTTTCTTTTTTTTTATGCTTTATTTATTTATTTATGCATACAGAACTGAGGTATGGGCCAGAGCTGCAAGAGCAGTGAGAGGATTCACTAGTGACAGAGTGAGGACCAGATTGGGCAGATTGATTGAGTACACTGCAGAGGGGAGCAGTGGGCGAGACAGGAGAGGTCGTCCAAGCCTTGTGGATCACCTCTGGGACCAGAGATGGAAGCAGCTGTGGTTAGCTTGCAGTGCTGTGTCCTAACCCATTGAGCCACTAAGGAGGGCCATCAGTTACTATCTTAAATGTAAATAGTCTGAACAGACCAATTAAGGCACAGATTAGCAGAGTAGATAAGAAAAAAAAGCTTTAAATACACTCTGCCTACTCAGTCAAATAGGTAGAATGATGATAAAAGGATGGAAAAATACAGTACAAAAATAACAACAAGAGCATCCATATTGATATAAAATAAAGACTTCATGGGAAAGGGTACTAGAGCAAAGAAGGATATTACATATGATAAAATATATACATAGGGAACAAAAACCAAGAGCTTCAGAATACATGAAGCAAAGAGTATAGTTACTTATCAAAGAACTAACCAGACCAGTGATACCTACTAGACATTTATGAAACACTCAAACAGCAATATTTTCTTATGTGCCCATAAGGCAAAAATATACCATATCCCAGATTATAAAACAAACTTGAACAAATTTAAAAGAATTGAAATCAACAAGATTATCTTCATTGACTAACAAATTAAACCAGTAACAGAGAGATAACAGAAAATTTTCCAAACCTTGGAAATTAAACAGTGTACTTCTAAATGTGTCAGAAGTTATTTTATGGAAATTTTTGGAAATATATAAAGCTGAAGTCCTCTCCGGTCTTGCCTGTTGTTCTCCTCAGCAGTGCATTTCGTTAGAGCCATCTGTCTGTGCCCCACTCTGCCTATGGTGAACCCTCTTACACCCATACTCTCACCTGTACCCTATTTCTTGTGTGCATAAATAAATAATTTTTAAAAAATGAATACATAAAGCTGAATAAAAATGAGAAACAACATATAAAAGAGTATGTGGGAGGAAGTATGAAGCAGTGCCAACAGGGAAATTTTAATACTAAATACCTACATTAGAAAAGGGAAATAATTGGGGTCTCCCCGATGGTGCAACGGTTAGATCTCAGTGCTATCAAGCTGTTGCCAACTACTGTGGCATGAGTTCAGTCCCTAGCTATGGTGCCAACCCATATGGCACAACAGACCTCTCCAGTCTCACTCACTGCTCCCCTCAGCAGTGTATTTCAGTAGATCTGCCTGTTCTGCTCTCCACTCTTATCACTAGTGAATCCTCTCACCCCCAGCACCTCTGGACTATACCCCAGTTCTTGTATGCATAAGTAAATCTTTTTTAAAAAAATCAAAAGGGATATATCTCAACACTCATAACTCAAAAAGTAGATTAGAAAAGAGCAGAATAAACCTAAAGAAGTATAAGGAAGAAAATGATATAGCAGGAATCAGTGGAATTGAAAACAGGAAAATAATACAGATATCAGTGAAACAAAAATCTGGCTCTTTGAAAACAAATTTAGTAAATCTGTGGTAGGACTGAACAAGATAAAAGGGAAAAGGCAAGTCAGTAATATCAGAAATGAAACAAGCATATAGATTATGCCACCATTAAAAGCATAATAATGGGCCCTCCTTGGTGGCGCAGCGGGTTAAAGCACAGCACTGAGAAGCTAAAGCCACTTCCGCATGAGTTCGATTCCTGCCTGACCTGGAGGTGACCACATGGCGTAGCAGACCTCTCCTGACCCGCCCGCTGCTCCTCTTAGCAGTGTACTTCGTAGATCTGCCCGTTCTGCTCCCCACTCTGTCTCTGGTGAAGCTGCTCGCCGCCCCTGAGCCTCTGGCCTGTACCCCAGTTCTGTATGAACTGGCATAATACATAATAATGAAATGCAGTTAACAACTTTGTGTTCATAAAGCCAAGAACTTAGATTAAATTGACTAATTCCTTGAACATTTCAAACTACTAAACTTTAATCAGAAACAGTTGTTTATAATAAATTTAAGTACAAGTTTCCAAACAAAATCTCTAGGTTAGGATACATTCATTGGGAGAGTCTACCAAACTTTTGGAGAAGAATTCAACATCAGTTTTCTATAATCCCTTCCAGATATAGAAGGAAACACTTCCAAATTCATTTTATGAAGGCAGCATTTCCCTGATAAGACCATACAACAAATCCAAGTAAAACTGCAGATCAATATGCCTCAGGAATGTAGATACAAAAATATCTAACAACAAAATCAGCAAGTTGAGTCCAGTAATATATAAATAGAATTTCACACCTTGAACAAGTGGGATTTGTTTTAGTTATGCAACCTGACTGTTATTTGAAAATTTAATATAATCTACCATCATTAACAAGCTACCCTAGTTTCCTAGGGCTGCAAATTACAAATTACTACCAACTAGACGGTTTAAAACAACAAATTTATTCCTTCATAGTTCTGGCATCTAGGAGCCCAAATTCACTTTATTGATGGGCTTATGCTTCCTCTGAAACTTATGAAAAGGAATCCACCTTTGTTTTTTTAAAGCTGGGGTTACCATCAAGTCTTGATATTGTTGGGTTTGCAACTGCGTCACTCCAACTTCTTCCATCTTTGCACACTGACACATGTCAGTGTGTCTTATCTCATCCTCACTCTCTTGATAAGGACATCAGCCATTACAATTAGGGTAGCCATAAGTCAGTATAAATGTCTGCAAAGGCTTTGGGACATCCTGGGTCCCAAAGGTTAGGACATTAACAGGTCTCTTGGTGGGCGGGGATGGGGAGGGTGGGGAGGCACAATTCAGCCTATATCAAAAGCTAAAGAAGAAAATCATGTGAGTACACTGACACAAAATATTTGACAAAATTGAATACTTTTTCCATGATAAAAACTCAAAACATGACTTCCTCTCTTGGTAAAGTCTGCAAGAAGTTACAGCTAATATTGTACCTAGTGGCGAATGACTGAAACTTTCTGCCTGAGATTAGATTTGGTAACTGGCTTATTAAATTAGTGTCTACTGATTACCTTCAATCACCAAGTGCAAAGTCTCTAATGTTACTCCTCAGGGAAGTATGGCATTGGCTATGTCTACAGTCACCCTGGGATGGCAATGGTACTCATAGTTCCAGAATTTGCACCAGAGCACAAATTTCTGTGTAGACTAATCCTACCAGATTGAAACTTCTTGCCAGACTAGTTTTTGAGTTCAGTTTGATATTTGTTCTACCCACAGGAGAGTTCCTCCATCTGTCTTATTCTTTGCTCTCATCTATAAATCAAACTACAGTCTGTCTCCAGCTGATCTGCAAATTATCTCCTACTTGCCTTTCACTACAGCTTCACTGTAATTGGGAGTACCTTTATGTTTAAACTTCACCATTGCAAATGGAGTTAACTCCTTTGGAAAGAGATTAGAAGCCACCTGTTACATGGCTTCCTTCCCTGACCCACAGATTCTCAGCCTAGGGCCCTGGTGATAAGGGTCAAGACAAAAACAGCCTTCCCTGTGAGTAATAACCCTACTCTAGGTGGTGAGTGCCCAGTAGAGGTTAAAGATAAGTATAAATAGTCTGAGTCCTTTGGGCTTCTCCTAGTGTGAAACCCCCACAAGTCAAAAAAGGTCCCATTGCCTAAGGTAGTCTCCATTCCACAAGAGAGCTGAATGGAAGAAAGGAGCCCCACATCTGGATTATACATGTGAGGGAGAGAAGAATAGGCTGAGAATCGCTGGTGCTCTGCTCCTCCACCACCAGGGAGCTGGAGGAGAGAGAACCCTATATTCTTGGCTGTAGGGGTTTGGTTGGAGTCAGCCACACAGCTGGAAGGAGTGGGATGATCTTGATTCATCTATCTCAGACTTGCCATTTCTTACCACATTTGAGAACATTTGCTTGAATAGAAGTTTCTTCATTTGCTATTTGCCCTTAGGACTTTTTCCAAAGGTTTAAGTTTATTTAAATCACTAACCTGGTAAGTAGTTTAGTGGACCACTGTCTGCCACATGTCAGTTGTCTCATACACTGCTGAGCTACTTTGGAAAATATTATGACAGTTTCATAAAAACTAAACACACAGTTTATGGGGGTTACAACTTAGATGGAAAAAGGCACAAAATCATGTAAAAATAAACTATTACAATAAAAAAAATAAACATACAATTACCATCTGACTCAACTATTGTATTCCTGGACATTTATCCCCCCAAAAATAAAAATTTAGGTTGACACAAAACTCTGCACAGCAATTATTTTTTAATAACTGAAAACTGGAACAACACGAATGACCAATAACAGACTAGTGTTTAAATAGCTGTGGTACCATTGAATGTTACTTAAGAGTGAAAAGAAAAAAACCATTAATCATGCAGCAGCTTGGATAGATCTCAGCAAGCATTCTGTTTATTGAAAAAAAGCCTTTCTTAAGATGATGCATTCCCACACACACACACCAAAAAAATATACCATGTTATTTCATTTATAAATTATTCTCAGATTGACAAAATAGAGAACCAGTTGGTGGTTTCAGAGGCCAGTGGTGGGGGAGGGATGACTATACAGGTATAGCTCAAGGGAGAGCTTTTCAGTGGTACAGTAGTTCTTGATGGCAGTGGGGGTTACATAGAAGTACACAGGATGAGTGACATAGAACTATAGTCACATTTTATATCACTGACAGTTTCCTGGTTTTGATATTGTAATCTATAACCAATGAGGTAAGTTGGGTGAGAGGGAGCTCTCTTTACAATCTTTTTTTGAAATGCAGTTCACATAGTATACAATTCACCTATAAAAGTATATACTGTTCAGTGATTTTAGTATAGTCATAGACACCACATCTCTTAACCACCATTCCCAATCTTGCTGTCGGCACTCCTCCCTCACCCTAGGGTGAGACAACCTTTTAGCTACTTTATATAGCTTTGCCATTGCTGGACAGATCATATAATATTTGATCTTCTGTTACTGGATTATTCTCAGGATTTGTCCATGTTGTAGCATGTGTCAGTACTTTTTGTTGCCAAATACTATTTTACAGAAAAACTGTATTTTACTTAATCTATTCATCATTTGGTAGGTATTTGGGTTCTTTATACTTTGTGATTATTTTGAATAATGGTGCTCCTAGCTTTTGTGTGCAAATTTGTGTGTGGATATCTAACTCATTTCTCTTGGATATATACCTTGAAATAAAATATCTGGGTTATTTAGTCACTCAGTATTTAATATTCTAGGAACTGCTAGACTGTTTCCAAAGCAAATACATCATTTTACAGTCCCACCAGCAACAAATGAGGCTCAACACTGTTTTTGACTTTAGCAACTTAGTGGGTGAGAAGCAGTACCTCATGATTCTGATTTGCTTTTCCCTAATGCAGAAGTCCCTTCTGACTGCACTCCTACTGATTGTGAATCTCTTTTATGTCTTTATTGTCCACTTGTATATCTTGTTTGGAAAAATGTCTGTTTAGATCCTTTTGCTCTTTTTAATTGGTTTTTATTTTTATTGAGTTGCAAGAATTCTCCATATGTTCTAGATACAAGTCCCTAATCAAATATATCGTTACATTATCTTTGCAACTTTCTGTGACTTAGTAATAATTTCAAACTCAAAAGTTGTTTATAATGCCTGTTGAAATACACAAGTACCTGTAAAATGGGTAAAATCTGAAGAATGTCTATAGACTATATCAGTGTCATGGTTGATATTATACTGTTTTGAAAGATGTTACCACTGGGGAAAACTGGGTAAAAAGTACATGAACTGAGGCCCTCCCTGGTGGTGCAGCGGGTTAAAGCACTGCACTGAGAAGCTAAAGCCACTTCCGCATGAGTTCGATTCCCACCTGCCCCGGAGGAGACCACATGGCGTGGCAGACCTCTCCTGACCCGCCCGCTGCTCCCCTCAGCAGTGTACTTCGTCGATCTGCCTGTTCTGCTCCCCACTCTGTCTCTGGTGAAGCCTCTCACCCTCCGCATCTCTGGCCTGTACCCCAGTTCTATATGAATAAATAAATGAATCTTTAAAAAAAAAAAAAAAGTACATGAACTGGGCCCTCCCTGGTGGCTCACCAGGTTAGGACTCAGCACTGTAAGCTAGCCACAGCTGCTTCAGTGAGTTTGATCCCCGGTACTGGAGGTGAACCACATAGCACAGCAGACCTCTCTTGACTTGTCCACTGCTCCACATTCTGTCTCTGGTATATCCTTTCACCACTTCTGCACCTTTGGCCTGTAACTACAGTTCTGTATGCATCAATAAATAAATCTTCTTTAAAAAAAAAAAAGTACACAATCTTGTTTTCTGACAACAGCATGTGAATCTTAGCAAATTCTAGAATTATTTAAATTACCTTGATGCTTATATTTGCCTACTGGAAAGAATTTTTTTTTTAAGATTTATTTATTCATACAGAACTGGGGTATAGGCCAGAGATGAGGGTGAGAGGATTCCCCAGAGACAGAGCGGGAAGCAGAACAGGCAGATTGACGAAGTACACTACTGAGGGGAGCAGTAGGCAGGTCAGGAGAAGTCTGCCGTGCCATGTGGATCACCTCCGGGACAGGCGGGGATCTAACTCATGCGGAAGTGGCTCAAGCTTCTTAGTGCTGTGCTTTAACCTGCTGTGCCACCAGGGAGGGCCGAAAGAATGGTTATTTTTAATTGATAAAAATTTTAAGGCAATTTTAGGTTTAGAACATAGATTTCGTTAGAGCAGAGGGTACAGAGATTTCCCATTATCACCACTTTCCACACATGTACAACTTCTCTCACTATCAACATCCCCACCACAGTGGTTCATTTGTTATATTGATGAACCCACACATACATGTGATTATCACCCAAAGTTGATTGTTTACATGGGGTTCACTTTTGTACATTCTGTGGGTTTTAAAAATAAATAGGTGGGGTCTTTCTGAGAATAATTTTCAAATTTTTAACACTGTGATATGTGAATACATTTTAAGTCCTAATAAATAGTAAAAGTTCACGAATAGAGATAATTCACCTTGGGGGAAGCACTCCTCAATCCTCATTTGTCTTTCTGGGTTATACTTTTCGTATTTTATTACAGTTCTGGTTACAGTCTCCTCTACCCAAATTTGAAAATTATTCACATTTGATTCCTGTGATTTCTCCAATATCTAGATAACCCCAAAGAGCTTCTGAGACTTCATACTCACATGCTGACAAGCATCACTACATGAGCGAGACTCTGGCTCACTAAAGACTGTTTCCTCTCCTTAAGAGATTAGAATACTATTCTTTTGAATTGGCTGGATTAACAGAATATTCCTTTAAAGCATCCTCCTAGGATGGACCAAAAAAATGCTTTTATTCACATTGTGACCATTACTCCCAAGGGTCTTTAAATATGAAGGGTTAAAACACAGTGATTTGGTTTATAAAATTGAACTATGTTGTTGTTCTTCTTTCTTTTTTTTTTTAATGGATCCAGAGGAGAAGAAAGCTATGCTGCAGGAAATAGCTAATCAGAAAGGAGTATCCTGTCGTGCCCAAGGCTGGAAAGTCCACCTCTGTGCTGCCCAGTTGCTACAGCTGGTAGGTAGAGTTCTGTAGTGGTTATGTCCTGCCAAAGAGAGGGACAGATGCTGGAGATGTGTGAGTTCAGAGAGTATTTTCTTTTGACTAATGCTGAAATATGCCTAATTAACATGGGTCATGGTAGAATTTTTATGTATGCTATGTTATTATATCTATTCCATAGATGTAATCATAGTCTAAATATATTTTAGTTCTGATGCCCAGAACCAAAATATATGGAACAACTGTGGTTTAAGTTGAAACCACAATTGAAAATTAAAGGTTAGTATTAAGTGTTCTCGTCACATGTAAAATAGGTGTAGCCTCAAATGGCCTAACCTCTCCACTCTGCTCCACTCCTTGTCACAGATACTGGGTAGGGTTCTACTTTTCCTTGAATAATGGGCTTCATTTCCTGCCAGCTTAAAATATCATTCAAATAATCCAATCACATACTTCACAGGAACCAGGGGGTACCTACCTCTCCTCCTTGATGCTCAAAGCCTACTTGCTGTAGCCATTTGTTTCTGAGCGCAGCCCCCTGGTGGCCCTGTGTGATGTGTATGTCCTCCTCTCCTGAGTTAAGTGTATTGACCAGCAAACTACTGTTGACCTCATCTTTCCATTATCAGCTATCTTCATAACCCTAAGGTGGGAATTCTTGTTTCACCACTAAGGTGAAGAGGCAGTGATCAAAACTTCATCCTCTTGAGGTTTTCCCGTCTCTGGAGTAATGATCTGGAGAACATTAATTATTACGAGATCTCAAAAAGAAAAAAGTAACCCAATGGCTAGTTTATGAACTTTGCAGAAAGGCTTATTTCTATGAAACTATAGGAATTATTTTTGGAGAAAATGAGAATTCAAGGCAGGCTTTACAAAGTTATCCTGGATGATAGGTTATAAAGTATGACAAACTGTAATATAATGTGTTATCAATAGCTTTCCCTGACTCTACCATGATCTGCAAAGAAAGGATTTGATTACCCGACTATTCTTATGCCTGTTTCCAGAGTTGATTTACGGTGGACTTGTTTGCCTGAAGTTAACAAAATTATCTCTGGCATCATGATGCCTTCCCTCTGTGTATTGCAGACTAATCTAGAACATGATGTTTATGAAAGACTCACCAACCTGCAGGAAGGGATTATCCCAAAGAAAAAAGCAGCAACTGATGATGATCTACACCGAATAAGTGAACTAATACAGGTTTGAATGAGCCCTTACCCTTACAATCATTCATGGAGCCATTCACTATAAAGTTTGACTTCTCCCATTTCCCTCCTTCATTCACTAACATCTTTAGCTTACAAAAACCTATTTACTTTAGCCTGCATTACTAAGAAACACTAAAACTTTCGGTGTTTGTTTTTAATGTGAAAAACTCCAAATGGTTTTGATCCAAAAGTGAAAATTTCTTAAAGGCATATTGTCCTCAGTTAGTGATTGATGATATACTGTCTTTTGTTTCAGGGAAACATGCAGCGGTGTAAACTTGTCATGGATCAAATCAGTGAAGCCAGAGACTCCATGCTTAAGGTTTTAGATCATAAAGATCGTGTCCTGAAGCTTTTAAACAAGAATGGGACTGTCAAGAAGGTGTCAAAATTGAAGCGAAAGGAAAAAGTTTAGACTCAGAAGAATCAGGACTTTGGAAACAGAACTATGAAGAATGATGTTGGGAATGGGGGAGGGTTTTGGTTATTTTCAAAGTGGAACATTGAAATAAAGGAAGCATTTCACACATGAAAGCAGAGTGACCCATGGCATCAAGTGGCACAGAAAGATCAGGGTGAAGTGACTGAGTGAAGTCCATTCTCTTTGGCGCTTCCCTCACAACCCTACTGTGTCATGATGGCTCCTGGCGCGTCTGTGTCCGACAGTTGGAATCAGTGACAGCGAATGGCTGGCATTTTCAGCTTTCCAGTTCCTGAGCTGTATTTATCTGCTGGAGTCCTGCAGGACCCATGCTGAGCCCGGACTGAAAGTGTGCACTTGGACCATCTGTTATCTCTACACTGAAAACCCAAACTCTTCTCCCCACCTTCTTCTGTCTGACCTTCAAATGCTCACGCTGGCCTTTTTCAGCAGTGCCATGGCACCCAGAGACCTGCCACATCTCACTCTCTAAAGGGGTTGAACTACCAGTTCTTGTCATTTTTTTAAAGAACCATTTCAAGGTGAAATTGTTCTTGTCTGTCCCGCGTGTGTCAGGTTGGGTTTTGTGGTGGCAGAGCAGGTCCCACCATAGCTGCTCTGAGACCCTTGTTCTGAAGTACATTCGGGTTATCTGTACTTCCCTAGCTGGTATGACGCTGTTAACGTATGTACCGCACATCTCCAGATGTTAATAAAGGACTCGAAGAGGTTTTTGTACATGAGCAATTTGCATCTTTTTATTTAATCAGTGCTGTGCTGATCATTTGTGTGTTTACTGCAATCTTGTACAGATCATGGAGAGTCTGTACTGTTAAAATTTGTTGAGTTCTACTTATTCTGGTATTTTGATGATGTCATGGTGGTGAAATGTACTGGCACACAGTTATCAACATACAAGATTGTTGTGTTCTATTGCAGATATAAATTGGCTAAGTACAGGCCAGCTCCTGCCACAGCGATGGAGCTTCCAGAGGCCACCCTTGTGGATATTCTCACAAGGTGGTTCTTGCTACTTTTGAACTGGCTTGAGAGGTGAGATAGCCAGCTTCATTTCTATGGGTACAATTATCTCTCTCTCTCCTCTCCAGGTATTCGTAGGACATGTGTTTCCACTTGCCAACTTAGAGGCTAGAGCACTTCTCTCTGCTGTAACCTGACAGGTTGAGATGGGCAGTCTGTGCCATTTCTCACCAGGGCTTGGGGACCAGTGCCCTGGCTTCCCTTAGACCCCTCACCTGAGACAGCTTGCCTCTGTAGACTCCTACAGATTATAGGAGTTGGGAGTACTTAGGGGCAGCGAGAGGAAAGAAAATGTTTGGCCTTCCTCAGAGTAGATCTGCAGAGTCCAGACTACAGAGATCATCAGAACAATTAAGCCTCCTATAGTTTTAAAATATGTTACTGATTTTTTAAACTAGATGTCACATCTCAAACAACATGCTTGCTAGAGAAGGATGGGATTCAGGTATGAGAGACCCTGCATTACAACCTGTTTTATAAAAGTTTTGTCACCTCCATAAATACAGTCTAGTAGCCTTGATCAAAGAAAACAAGCTTTGATGCCAGTGCAGGTTAGGTCAGATGTCTTCAGTATTCCCCTGCCTCATGAGGACGATTCACCTCTTCTGGTGAATCCTATCTATGTGTACAACGTAGCTTTATTGAGGATTATTTGACATACAATAAAGTGTAAAAATTGATAAAATTTGAAGTTTATATTCATGAAACCATCACAATCACAATAGTGAAAATACTGGACTGAAAAGCTTTTTTGTGCTTGCTTTTTACCCTTTCCTTACTCCTCATCTCTGGTCAACCATTAATTTGCCTTTTGTCACACTAGATTAATTTGATTTTCAGGGATTTTATATTTTATATTAATGAAATCAGTATATGATTTTTGAGGGAATTTCACAATGGAAAATTAATCTGAGGTTCATTCATTTTGATTTTTCAATAATTTACTTGATTTCATTGTTGAGTAGCAAATGTTCCATTATATAGTCTACAGATTGTTGATCCAGTCACCTGTAGAAAACATTTGGTTGCTAGTAGGTTTACTTCTTAACAGATAACATTTTTGCACATTTTGTTGTTTTTTTTTTTTTTTAAAGATTTATTTATTTATTCTTACAGAACTGGGGTACAGGTCAGAGATGCGGAGGGTGAGAGGATTCACCAGAGGCAGAGTGGGGAGCAGAACAGGCAGATCTACGAAGTACACTGCTGAGGGGAGCAGCGGGCGGGTCAGGAGAGGTCTGCCGCGCCATGTGGATCACCTCCGGGGCAGGTGGGAATGGAACACATGCGGAAGTGGTTTAAGCTTCTTTGTGCTGTGCTTTAACCTGCTGCGCCACCAGGGAGGGCCCACATTTTGTTTTTTTAAAGATTGATTGATTTATGCATACAGAACTGGGGTACAGGCCAGAGGTGTGGGTAAGAAGATTCATCAGAGACAGTGGGGTGCAGAACAGGCCAACTGACAAAAGTACACTGCTGAGGGTAGCATCAGGCAAGCCAGGAGAGGTCTGCCATGCCATGTGGACCACCTCTAGGGCTGGGGATCGAACTCATGCTGAAGTGGCTTTAGCTTCTCAGTGCTGTCTGTGCTTTAACCCATTGGGTTAAAGGGAGGGCCACATTTTGGTTTTTATGTGAGCATGTACACAGTTTGTTTTTTAAGCAGTGATTTTATGTTTAGTTGTACTCCAAGAGATTTATGACCAGGAGATAGTGCTGAGAAGTCTGGAGGCTAAGTAGCTTTTAGTAGGGAAAACTAAAAGATTAGAAAGAATTGGAAATATGTTTGAGGTTAAGACTTGATTTTGCCTTCTTTATAATAGAAAATCAAATCTGGGATAAAAAAAAACATTAACTCATCTGATGTAGAAAATAATTTTTAGGGCCTCCCTGGTGGCACAGGCATTAAAGTCTCAGTATATCATAACTGTTAACAACTACTACAGCATGATTTCCATTCCCGGCCAGGTAGCTAACCCACATGGCACAAGCAGACCTCTCCTGTTTTGCCCACTGCTTCCCACAGTTACTCCCCACTGTTCTGCTCCCCACTCTGTCTGTGGTGAGTCCTCTTACCCCTGCATTTCTGGCCTAGAATCTGGTTCTTACATGCATAAGTCAAATGCTCAAACCCAATCACAACTCTTTACCTCTCCCCCCCCAAAAGATAACTATTATCTTGACTTTTCAAATAACCAGTTTTATTGTGATATATTTATACCCAAACCTTACAATTTTATGCATGTATCTTGATAAATGTATAACCACGGAACAAGTGTCCCTTGTTCTTCAAAACGCTCTGCCCCAACCCCCCAAAGGCACAGATGATCTACTGTTAATCAGAGATGAATTTTGTCTGTTCTTGAACTTCATATAATTGGATTCATAGAATACACACTTGTATCTGGCTTTTTTGCTCAACATAATTTGAGATTCAGCCATTTAAAGTTGTTTCTTTTTATTTCTAAGTGGTATTCAGAATGTGCAACAATTTGTTTATCCACTTCCTTATTGTAGGATATCTTTTTTTCAGGTTTGGGCTATTATAAATAAAGATAGTATATATGCTTGCATGCAGTTTCTTGAGTGAAACTAACATTTCAAATCAGTTGAGTAAAAACTTCGGGGTGTGATGTGGCTCATATGGTAAAAATTAAGTTCATTTTATGAAAAAATATTGAATTGTCTTCCTAAGTGGCTACCATTCTTATATTCCCACCAACAATGAACATTCCTGTTGCTCCACATTAATATTTAGTTTTTGTCAGTTTTTTAAGAGTTTCACCATTCTAATATAATGGTATTTTTATTTGTATTTTCTTAACATTGTACTGAACTTTTTTTTTTCTGCCATCTTTGTCACTTTCAATGAGGTTACACTATTCAGATACTTGCCCCTATTTTCATTCAGTGGTTTTTTTTTTTTTTTTTTTTTTGAGCTTTAAAAGTTCTTTGTGTATGTATTTTGGACACAAATTGCCAGATAAGGATTTTATAATATATATTCTTGCAGGTTATGGCATATCTATGTGCTTTTTAAAGAGTCAGTCTTGTCATGGATTGTGCTTTTGGGTTCTACCTAATGACTCACCATCAAACCCAAGGTTAGCTAGATTTTCTCATCATTTTGTAACAGTTTGATAGTCCTTTATGATTAGGTCTGTGACCCATTTTGAAATAATTTTTATGAACATTATAAGGCTTGTGTAAAGATGTTTTGCATGTGGACATCCAACTGTTCAAGCACCATTTGTTGAAAAGACTATCCTTTTTCCATTAAATTTCATTTGCTCCTTTACCAAAGACAAATTGACTGTATTTGCACAGTTCTATACTTCAGTAATTTTTTTTTCTATTTTAAATGGTACTGTGCTTCTAATTTCAAGTTCATATTGTTCACTGGTAGTACCTGGGAAAGCAGTCAACACCTATAATATGGTATTTAACCTTATATGCAATGATATTGTTGTTTTCGCAGAATTATTTTGTAATTTTTTAGGGGACTTTCAACATAATAATTCTATGAACAAATACAGTTTTATTCTTTACCAATCTGCATGTATTTTTTTTCTTTCTTTGTCTTACTGTACTAGATAGGAACATCCAATAAGATAATGAATAGGAGATGTAAGAGGGAATATCCTTTCCTTGTTCTTAGGTAAAGGAGCTTTACCTTTATGTGAGCTTGTGATGTAGGGAGGTTTGTAGATGTTATCAAGTTGAGCAAGTTTTCTGTTCTAGTTTGCTGAGCATTTTAAATCATAGAATGGATTGTGATTCTATCATACTGCTTTTTTGCATCGACTGATATATTCGTATTTCTTCTTTAGCATGTTCATATGGATGTTAATTGATTCTTTTATTGCTGAACCAGCCAGTCAAGCCAGCATGTCTGAAATAAATTCCACTTTGTTACGGTTCATAAATCTCTTAACACATTGTTATATTCAGTTTGTCAATATTTATTTACATCTATGTTGAGAGATACTTGCCTGGCTTACTTTTTGTACCATATTTGTCTAGTTTCAATTTCAGGATAATGCTAGTCTCATAGAAAGTTGGGAAGTTCTGCAAGAATTATAGTGAAACAGGCTAATTCTGCCCTGAAATGTTTGATAGAATTCACCAATGAACCCATTTGGACCTGGTGCTGTCTTTTTTAAAGTATATACTACTAATTGTTAACTAGTTTAAATAGATATAGGCCTATAAAGATTGTCTGTCTTTGCATGAACTTTGGTAATTTCTGCCTTTGAAGAAAGTGGACTACATCACTTTCAGAACACTTCATTTTCCTAAAACTAGTAAGAACTCTGTTATTCCCATTTAGTGTTTAATTCACTTTAAGTTGATTTTTGCATCTGATATGAAGTAGGGAGTCTAGCTTCGTTCTTTTACATGTGGTTGGTCAGTTGTCCTGCCACCATTTGTTGAAAAAGATGTTCTTTCATCAGTGAGTTGTTCTGGCAATTTGTCAAAGGTATGCTAGGTATATATAATGACTTATTTTTTAAACTTATTTCTGAGTAAATCTGTCCCATTGGTCTCTAGTTAGCTTTAGGCCTCTCCCACACTGGCTTGTTTGGCACTATGTTTTGAAATTGGGAAGTATAAGGTAACTGTTATGTTTCTCTTTTTTAAGATTGGCTGTGCTAGGTCCCCTGAATTGCCAGGTAAATTTTATGATCAGTCTGTCAATTTC